AGTCGCAAAGCCAACGATGGCAGCGGCGGCGGCAGCAGCAGCAGCGACCGAAAGCAACTCTGAGTGACCTATGACGCCATGCCGAGCTTGACAGTGTTTGACAGTCTTCGACAGAGCTCGACGAACTTGTGTCAAAACGCAGTGGTTATGGTTGAAAGTGCTTGAAACGTTGCCAGCCGATGTGCGCTGGCGCTCGTGGAAGGCCTCCGTGTCGATTGTGGGACTTGGATTGGCGCGGAAGTGAATTCCGTCGCTGCGGAAGAATTCCGAAGGAAGTGTGTGACTAACTGGCGTCGCAGAGTGCGGTTTAGAGCGCAGTCCGGCCGTCCTGTCAGGCGCTCGTTCGTCTTTTAGTGAAGTGATGAGCTCCGACAGAAAGCTGCAAATTAGCTACTTGACCTGTCTGTTTTGGAGCTTAGGACTCACGCTCTCTCTCCCGGGATCCTTCGAGGGACGAGGGAAATCGGAGTGAGAGGAGCGTCCTAGGGGCAAGCCCGCAACGACCTTCTTCGGAGACTGGACCTCGTCGCAAACTGTATTTGTTCCGACGGGTTTATTTCGTGGACGGGGGGTTCTTGGTTTGTGACCTGAGCAAGAACCAGCCGCGGCCTGCGTGAGACCGTTCCGCATTGAAGTGATGGGATCCGGGGACTTCCGAGATTTTTCGCGCGCCCAACGGCGAGCGTAGCCACTGATTTAGCGTTCGGGAGCATCATCGCCGAAATGTCCGTTCTTCGGCCGGAGACGGACAGAGGGGAGCCCTAAGACCGCGGATCGTGGCCTCAAGCTCTCGAAGGCAAACGACCTCTAAATGAACGGAGGGACATGGACATTCGATTCGGGCCGAGTTCGCGCATCGTTCACCTCCGCAGACCATCATCGCCATGTTTCCTGCGCCAAGAAGCCCCGAGACGGTGCAAAGTTTGTTCGTTTCTACCATTCGTTCAGCGGCATGGGGATCCTTCCTTCCCCTCTCCTAGAGGATCTCTAAGTGCACGCCTCTTCGAAAAGGACCTTGAGGCAGCTCTCAAAAACTTTCTCCGGGTGTCGTTCGTCGGTTCCTGTCACGCGGGAAGGCAAGCGGAAACGAACGCGGCGACATCTCATGTTTTCACTTGGAATACTTTCGCTAACAATAAGTTAGCTGTGAAGTAGAATTCGATCTGAAGTCCACCCGACTCTCCGAGGATCAGACTTTCGAACAAAAGAGGTTTCGAGTGGCTGGCGCATGTGGGATTACCCCGTCATCGAGTGATTATCGGCATTCTTTGCGAATGATGGCCATTCAAGTTACTCCGTGGTGCCCGCGCGGTGAGAGTCGATGCCGCCAACACAGTAGGGTGTCACAGTCTATTATGAGAGTATGGAACGTCAAGCCGGCGCGCGGATCCGAATTCGCCGGAGGATCCTCTAAGAGCTTGTAAGGACCTACCAGATCGCCCCGAGCACTTCATGCAAGCATTCGGCCTATTTATAGAAGAAGGCTGTCCCTAAGCTTTCGTGATGTCACAGGCACGGAGTTGCGTATCGCCAACTATGTGATGCGAAGTATTAGTTTCGAAACAGCGGAAGGAGGAATACCGAGAGAGGAAGAACAAGACAAAGTGGTTGTGGTCGAAGAGAAGACGGCCGAGGTGGAGCAGCGGCGGTCAGAAATAGACGGAACACAAGCGAGACCTCGCGGATTCCGCTTTGCGAATTCCTATCGGAGAAAAAAGCGGGAGAGCCGTTGCAGCGGACGGCGAAGTCCACGGGAGCCGATACAGCATTTATTTCCCTGCATAAATTACTCGACTGGGATTCGATTTCAAGACCTCTTTCCCAGCGCAGCGGCCGGTCAGTAGGTCGGACTGCAACCCGCCGCCGTTCGCAGAAAAACGAGACACCGACAAGCAAACAGAATGGAGTCCTTAAGCTCTCTATACGCCAATGTTCGCCGACGTAGCTCCGTGTGGACAGTGGAATGGAAAACAGAGCCGATCCACGAGTGAGTAAGCCTACCATTGTAGACGAGGGGATCATATGGCGCGCGGAGCTCTTCTCCAGTCTGTACTCTCTCCCTCTTCCGTTCTCTCTCTTTCTCTATGAGTACTCGCGAGAAACTAAAATTTGATTCGTGCCCGTTGCCCTGCCTGCCTGCCTGCCTGTCTGTCAGTCCGTCCGTCCGTCCGTCCGTCCGTCCGTCCGTCCGTCCGTCCGTCCGTCCGTCCGTCCGTCCGTCCGTCCGTCCGTCCGTCCGTCCGTCAGTCCTTCGATCTGTCAGCCCGCGAACATAATACCGCTCTGTTGCGGGCCCGCATCTCGAGCGCTCCTTCCCCATGCTCGAGAATTCCGCACAAATCCTATTGGTCTACCTGTAATCGGTTATCGGAGAAGTCCCATCCATGAACCTTCCGATATCTCTCGAGCGCGTGTAAATTCGATGAGCAATATTATTTTTGTTCTCTCCATCGGGATCTTATCGTTGCTAATCTAGAGGAGTCAATAGAGAGCAAGTCGATAAAGAGCATGTGCACCATCCCTCACCAATTCTATTCCCCCTCAGAGTGTGCAATTCTTCCGTTCAAATCCTTGGGGGAGAGGGGCAGGGAAGTTGGACGACCGGGGGCAATTTGGGTGCCGATCACTAGGTACTCTGAAACGGGACGACAGCTAAAATCATCGATGGAAACCACTGGAACTTCGGCTCGATGCTCGACCCCTCAGTGGTCGAACTCCGGGAGAGGATACCCGAAGCGGATTCATTCCCGTTCCGGAATTGCGTAGACGAGTCCGAGGCAAGAGTTCTGGGACAAGTTCGAGTCTTCGCAATGATTCCCCCGCGAAATCCAAAGTGCCCATGCCGCCTGCGGCTTCAAGAGCTCCGGTCACTGAACCGAAGCGGAGGCGCCTACCGAGGACCAGGGCCGGTCGATCGGAAGTACCGGCACTCGCTGTCATGCCGGCGGCGGCGGCGATGCGTCGTCCAGAGGAAGTACATTTGCATAACTTGTGCACGCATGGTCGAGATTTACGGGGTCTTTCTCCGAAGTCCCGTGACTCCGGAGCGCGCGAAGGGAAGCTCCCGATTCATCCAGAGCACCGTTTTCCCACCCATTCCCACATCATTCCGAGCACAACACAAGGTCATTAGCACGCAACCTGGCCTGCTGACTGACGGGATGTCTGAGAACATCATCGCGGTACGAGTTTAATCTTCGAATGATTCGGGACTGCCGTCCCACGAGCCGGGCCGTCCATTCAGACATCCTGCGAGAGCCGTCATTCAAGGTTAGGATCTGACTGATTGTGTGAATATCAGACACTCAAACAGCGTGCAGACTTCGTCACGGATTCATGAGACAGTATTCCATCAGGGGGTCGAGCCATTCTGAAGTTTCGGAAAAAACTGATCCTCCGACGGAGACAGCTCATTTCGACCCTTCAATCTCGGAAGAGTCGCGACACCGAACATGATAAGTCGCGCGTAGCAACTCATTCGAGATTTCTTAGATGATGATGCCGCGGACGACGACGACGATGCGGCCGAGATTTCACAGCGGAGAAGAATTCCCGCCCTGCTCGTCAGGAACTCTCCGTTCTCTGAATATTCTATCCGGCGATTGACGGTGTCGGTGGTCAATTTTTGTGCCGCGCGTCCCGTATCGCCCGTGCAACTTTTTATCTGTTCAGATAATTCCATTTATCAAATATACCCGTCAGAGATTCAAGCGTATCGCTGAGCTGCGGCGGAGGAGGGAGATCGCCTCTCTTTCCACTCACAGACAAGTCTAGAGCTCTCCCGTGGAGTTTCGTTCGGCCGCAAGCGGCGGAGGTCCGGGACAACGCCTGGAAAAAGCTTAAATCAAATAAGAGGCGGCAAACACCCGAGAGGAAGAAGAACAAGCTCATCGTGAAGCGTCGAAATTTTCAATTACACCGGTCGTATGTGGCGATCGCGCATGGAGGGAAACAGCAGTGGTGGAAGGGTGGCAACGAACAACTTCAAAAGGGCAGTGATCGAGAATTTGTCGCACTCCTCTAATTCCGTCCCCAAAACGATTGGGGCCGGAACTGACTGAATGGGAATATCTCTAACTCTGCGGCGAGCATGCCGCTCGAAAGTCCAGAGCCGAGACATCGCACAAATGTGGGCGCTTGGAGAAGGACGGCTCTCGCTTGAACACAAACGTTCCGAAATGGCTTGATCCCATCAGCGGGACCGCCGCCGGAATGTTCGCAGCTCCGATTTCGGTTCCCTCGGATAGGCGGGCACGCTCGTTCGCTCGCTCACTCCCCCGACCGTCCGCCCGTCCGTTCGCTACTCAAGTCAGAATCGATGTCGTTCACTTGCTTGCAGACGCTCGCTGCAAATCGGATTCGGGCTATTTTTAGGGCAGGCGAGGTAAACTGAGAGAACAAGAGAGGACTTTGAAAAAGCAAGAGTCGTGCCAACACCCCCGGAACTTCCAGATGCTCGCCAGGAAATAGCGAAGACGAGAGTGACTCGTATCACGGAAGCTTTCCGAAGAGCAGGCGGACAGCTGAACCCGTGTGGACATTCGACATCGAACCCCTCGGGAGGTTCTCTGAATCAACAGAACTTGATCTCATGTCGATATACAAGTTATCAATAGTTTCGCAAGCTGCTATCGTGTTTATTAAAAGTTATTCGGCAGAGCGGGTGAACATTTGAACTGAAATGCCGTCATTTCTACTCTCTTAACCGTCATAGGAGCAGATAGGCGTAGTCCCGGCACGGTTCGGAGAAAATTACGGGGGGGGGGCGAACGCCCGTTGCCCCCCTCCCCCTCCTTGGCTACGCCACTGGGACATTGTAGTTCCGAGTGTTCGAAATGTAACCGGAGTCTCGCGATACGTTGAAATAGCGAACTCATCTCTTCATGTAAATCAGTCGACGGGCTCTCGGCTGTTTGTCTCGACCACCGTATTACTCGGAATCCCTCTCTGGAGCTCGTTATTCATGACGACTGAATATTTCTCTTCACGCTCCGTTGCAGGGACATCTCGTCTCGGGGATACTCGTCCAAGGCAGGCCGGGGAGATTCCCCTGTCAGCAGTCCGCGGCTATCCAAGAAAACTTCAACATCCATCCTCGAGGAGAAGAATCCGCCGTCTTCTCCTCGCAGCCCGAAGCCATGGAGGACCCCTCCGACAAGGTATGTGGAGCTCTTGAATTTTCGGATCTTACTCACCGTGTTCTCCTTTCCTCTCGTCCCCATCTCCACGGGCGCGTCTCGACTATCGCTCTCAAACGTTGTCGGATCGGTCCGGCCCACCGTAATCCGCGCCGAAAATCGTATCGCTTGCCGGTTTTCCTAGACCGCCTCTCTGGCGGCGGATGAGATCAGTAAAGTGGAAGGGCGAGTTTTCTCCCCGCTGGAAAAAATGCCATCTGCTCCTTCGAGGGAACCATCTCGCTCGGCATCGATACCTCCGCGTTTCATGCACTGGAGCAGAGAAGAGACTCGCTGCCGATGCCCGGAGTTTCGAGGGAGCCGGACCTAGTCCCTGCCTCGTGGGAGACGGGTGATAGCGCGAAGCTAAGGGAGGCTCCATAAGAATGTATCACGTTCCTATGAATTCTGAGAGATTCCGTCGCTCCTCGGAGTCCACGGTTAGCTTCGGTTGCTTCAGGTGCGTCGCTCCTCACAGCGATCGTGAGTTCTGTTGTTTCTCGGATCCCAACCGCGCTTTCGAAACCCGTCCGGAGTCCCTGGGAACACAGCGATTCTTGAAAGTTGATTGGGTCACACGCGAGGAGAGGTGGGAGTTGGGGCATTCTCGCGACAGGGGTCGAAAAATATTTTCCTTTCCGTCGTTAAATGCTGTCTGCGCCACGATCCTCGGCTCATGTATGTTGACACTGCTCCGGCTCGGAGCGACAATATGGTCGCTCGTCCTTGCGGAATACAGTGCCTAGTCCCTGTTGATTCTCGACCAACTGGGCGACTGAATCCATGAGCAAACGCTCCAATGTCACCGGAGGCACCGCTCGGGGAACGCAGGTATTCAAACGCACCGCCCGAACGGGAGCTGTGCCCCCAGACTAACACTTCGTTCAGCTGAAAATTGCCCATCGGAAAACTGCGATCTCCGTAGCAAGAGTACGCGTTCACGGGGCGCGAAATTCAAAAATGCCAGATATGGAAATCACCAGTTGCTGAAAAAGGCGCACGATCGAGAAAGAAGCATAGAAGAAGACTCGGGATTCTTAAACGAAAAGATCGAGTCGCAGAATTCCCGCTAGCCTGAGCCTTTGTCGGATATGGCATTCCATCTCTGATTGGAACGCGCTCCGGGACGCAGACGTTGCGTAGGCTGGAATTCGGTAGTTTTCTTCTTCATTCTCCGGAAGAGTAACTCGCTAGCGGAATAACGCCGAAGGGCGCGGCGTGTCGTGTTTCACAAAGGAATTTCCGGAGCTTCACGGATCCAACTAAGGAACCAGAAGGGGTCGAATTCCTCGTTTTTGAATTCGAGGCAGCTGCGTCTCGTTCTTGCGCAGAGCCGATTCCGGTCGTATTGAAATCATCAAGCAGCCTCGAGGGTAGACGGAGCACTGGTGATGTCGAAGGAAACAGAACCCCGCTAACCTCCTTCTTTCCAAAATATCGAGGTTTTGCGTTGCAATAAGAGGAATAGACGATCAGAGGCGACGAAACAACGAAAAAGCGGTCAGCGAGACGCATTCTTAGGGAGAGCCGAATCTATTTTTCCGCGATTCCGAGATGGAGCACAGGGTGAGCTTTCCTCGCGACAAGCTCCTGAATCCCCGCGCTCTTCTTCCTCATCCCGTCTCAGCATAGCTCACAGTGGGGTATGACCCGCTCACCGGACCCGGACGAGGCCGCGCTCCGGGAGGGAAGAGCCGGACTCGCTTGTTTCCTTTACCAAATTGAATCTTCGTCACTCCTCTCCACTTTTCTCCGTTCCAATGCGACACCGCAAGTTCCCCGAGCTGTTCTTCTGATGTCTGTCGTCGCAGCAATTTCCCCAGGCACAAGTTGGACCTTCTCCGCTCTACTCTGAGCCCGGATTACTGCCTAACAGAAGCAGCTCATGTGCGAAATTATGCAAAATACATATTCTTCGCTGTTTCCGCTCTGGCGGCGTCGGCCAACGTTTAGCTTTCGGTCTGTTCCCCTCAGCTTTGGAGCAGCGCCCTTCAGCGAACAAGCGAGTGAACACTGTAAATGTTTTCGGGCTGTTGAATCCAATGTCTACGCTGTGACCCGGATTCCTGGCCAGTGGCTAGCCGGGCTGGACGCTGGGTCGCATATTTACTTGTTTTCCCAACCAGTCTCCAAGCCAGACCTTTTCGAAAGCGGACTGGATACGTGATCGATCCGTATTTCCGAAAAGCGGTCCATGGGACATGACCACCTGGAGGACGTGGGAATAGTCCATGCGCGTAATGACGCTCGGCGATCTTCCCCGTCGAGAAGGAACCAGGGATGATGATCGACAAAAACTACACCGAGCGGCAAACGAAACAAAGGTGGGGGAAGTCCTCTCCACTGCGATCATACTTGCCGACAACGCGCCGTTGCTGCTGAAAGGATATCGGGCGCATAGAGCGATGCAAAAACTCAATTCCCTAATCACGATTAGATCACAACCTTTGGGAGTTTCGTTCCGGGTTTGTTGGAGCTACGGACTAGTGAGTCGGTTGAGCCGCTGTCTGACCAGACTACGAGTCGGTGCACATAAACACCCACTCACCTGCCTACCGCCCACACCCACGCCAATCAAATCCATCAGACAAGACGTGGGACCCTAATAGAGGCTGGCCCCCCATTCCCTTCGGCCACGGTCCCACATGTCCGTATCTATCCGAGATACGGGAACGCTCTTGAATTCTCGTCCTTCTGTCCGGATATGCTTCCCAATAGGTCACAATCGCCGGATCGATCGAACTCGAGGACTCGCACGAGGAGGCGTGCTTTCCCTAATGGATGACTCAGCCATGAGGAATGTTCGCCAGAGTAAGCGTCGGAGATGCGGTCACTCTGCTCGCTGCCAGAGTCTCCGCACATGACCCGGATGGGGACGATGGCGGGAGGACGGTTCCCATGCGGCTAGTGTCTGGCAACAAATCAGCACATTTCCTTCGGGGCTCCCTCGTATAGCAGCGACGACCTCGTAATGTTTTCTCGACACCCGTCGACAAGAAACTCGGACTTCTGCGTTCGAAATTCCCTCGAGAAACTCGGAAGACCCATATTAGAACATTCGCAAGTCACCGGCCGGCCCTCGGGGCAATTTCACGATGATTTCCAGTCCTGAGGATTCTCCTAAGCGATTTGTTGTTGGTCATCTTTCCAGAGTACGTCGTGCGAGCTCAGGTGAAACGTTCCGATTTTCGGAGTGCAGGGGCAGTCCGGTTGGCTCGCGGCGGTCCCTCTTCGCGCCGCCTAAAGATCCAACACTCAATCAACAGCTGCCGCCAAACGCCATGGCCTCTGCGGAAGACGATGTCCCTGCGAAGATTACAAACCAGAGTCCGTCGCCGCCTTTGAGCGAGGGACCGCCAACGCTATTACCTCCCAGTCCACGTCCAAAACCAATTGTGAGGCTCGAAGCCGTCAAGCCTGGACACGAGGTAAGCTGAGTTTCCGTCTTCAATTCAAGCGAGCCAGAGCACGGACGATCGCTCGCCGCGGAATCGAATCCCGAACTTGACCCCTCGCGTATATAATAAGTTTGAAGATAGTTTATCCTCGGCTCCCCGTATCGGTCCCGAGGGCCGTACGGTCCACAGCATCCCTCCGATGTCCGTCGATCTCACCCTCAGTCTTGAAAACTCCCGCATACAACGTGATTAGATTCCGGCGTTCCGCCAAACACACGCGCCGCATCCATATCGCGAGGGATAATGTATACAGGAGAGGCGTCATAAAAATAGCTGAAGGGAATTCGCCGCATGGACTCCCCCAACTGGGACAAGCGCTCGCATTATAATTCTCGATATGCCGTCGCTGCCGCTATCTGGGGAAATGGCGAAAATTCAGACCGTCATTGAACTCCGGAGGTCCGAGCGAATCGTCATATATGTACGTCGCATTCGGATTCACTCATTCACGAGTCGATCGGCGCCCCTGTCTATTGACTGCCAGGATGGGAAGAAGAATCCAACTCATTCGCTGGGTTGAATTGTCGTTTGCACTCTATTCAACCAATGACCCCCTCCGTCGATGGTATCGATTTGCATGACGTAACGCAGCACACCTCGAGGGCTCTCACAGCGGATCCCGATTCCCGATACCTGAACGGATGAGGTACCATCTATGTAGAGCCGGAATAAACAAATTACAAGCGTATTCTCACTCGATCGGAGCCTATATGGCGATTGAACGCCATGCGGAAAGGGGACTGCATTCATAGAATCATTCAAGCCCGATTCCGAATAGCGAAGGCATCGACCGCCCGCGTAGATAGAGACGAAACGATAAGCTTCTCGGGCTGGGAGCGAAAAAACTCCGAATAGATTTCTGGCCGAGAAGGCTTCTGCTGAGCGACTGAAAGAACTTCTTATCTGAGCTGGGTACCTCTAACCCGCCAACTCACCTGACTAGGGAACGGCACGGCCAGCCGGTTCGCGTGCGGGGCTCGCACAATTTCTTTTTGTTCGCTCACTCGCTCGGCCGATCGGTGGGTCGCTCCCAAGTCTGCTTCGAAACAAACTCTAAGCGCGATTTATGGCGCCATAAAGATACGTAGCACTATACCGGTAGATGAGTGGCAGTCGACGACGATAGCGCTAGCCAATGGACTTCGGGGCGGCCAATAATTATTATTATCATCATCGATATAGCTCGAGAAGATTAAATTTCGAAAGCTCCGGGGAGAGCGGTGCCGTCTTCAGTAATCCCGTCACACAATTCCTTCCGAATGCTTTATTCATCAAGTCTCGCTCCTCGGCCTTCACGCTCCTCGCGGTCGTGGGTGAGAGACAGAGCGAATCGGCGACAAATACGCTCAACATGCGGAGAGTGATTTCCTTCCCGTGGCGGATTCTCAGAATTTCGAGACACTCTGTTCCACCAGCCGAGGAATGTTCAACGCACAATCAGCTACTTCCTTCTCTACGTCGAGTGGCAAATACTGCGTAGGCGGCGCCGACGCTGTGAAAGGAAGCCGAGAGACTCGCTGCTTGCGAAAAATCAATGAGGAACCACCTGCGCTTGACGATATCTGTCGATGGAACCGCTCGGAGCCGGCAGCCGACCGCCGTCGGAAATCAACATCATCTCAACTCTCGTCTCACGCTGTTCCAGGAAACGCTCGAAAATGGAGGCACCTGCTTCGAGTTTGGTCACGATCCGAAAAGTCTCCCCGTCTCGTCTCCGATGGCAAAATCGGTATCTTTTCACTCGGGAACGAGTTTGCCTGAAGAAAGGAAAATCTCCTCAGGTTTGTTGGATGAATCTGTTTCTCTACGTGGACATCAACATATGTAGATGCTCGATGAGGCAAGAGTGAATGGTTCATGTTCGAACGATTCAGTTCGTGGGTGGAGTAATTTTTTTCGAGCACGGCTTATCTGATGTCGAGTTCCGAAAAAGCTTCAAGTCCCATCTATGATTGCTATCTTTCTAGCTTTCGACTGCCTTCACTTCATGATGAAAGGCTGCAGTTTGCTGAAGGTCCGCGCGAGCTCCAGGCAGTACCGTCGCTACTTCACTTTAGAGGAAGACCTGCAAAGCATACGGTGGGTCCCATCGTCGAAGAAATCCAACAAGGCCAAACTTCCCATTTCCCATATTCGAGAAGTTCGCCTGGGCAAGACCACAGATATCCTTCGTGACAAGGAGATAACAGGTGAGTGTCCGTGCCAATGAATGCGTTTAAGCCTTCCTGTTGCGACAGCAGCAGCATCGAAAGAGCGGGCATCGGCGCCCGCTCATAGGCCCATTAGCGGCGCTTCACGAAGAGCTCGAATCGTCGAGCACCGGATCGAGGAGCAGGGGAATCTACCTTCAGAGGAATTATCGTGTAACCCCGATATCGTGATTGGGCTCGCGATTTCCATCGAATCTGTAGACGTTCGGGAAAAACCATGGAGTCGAGTAGTTCCTTAGAGTTCCATAAATCTCTTTCCACCGGAGCGGAGAGAAATGAATCCGCTTATCTTGAATGTATGGCATCCCCCCTTCCCCCTCCTTGCTGGGGAAGGACAGAAAGTGTTGCATTCGGTATTAGTAAACGCGACAGGCCGTGTTAAGATGTCGCAATACTACAGCTTCATTGATTCCCTATGCAGGATGCTATTCCGAGGACTGTGTATTCTCGGTGATCTACGGAGATTCGTACGACTCACTCGACTTGGTTGCATCGACGGCAGATGAAGCAAACTTCTGGATAACCGGAATCTCAATGCTGATGGCTTCGGGTCGGCAGAGTGTTAACATGGATAACATCGATGAGCGTCAACTTATGCGAGAAAAGTGGCTACAAGAGTGCTTTCGACAGGCTGACACTGACCGGTGAGTGGATATGACAGCTCGGCGCCTACTCTGCCCACCGGGCGAGCGACTTCGCTCGCCTAAGGAGTACTCCGCAGATTCATTTTTCTGCCGAAGAGAAAATCCTCTCTTTCTCGGAGCTCTCTCCGCTACCGTAGTCTGGGCGGATCGACGCGACGGCTCCTCCCGGGAGTGACAAATGTTTCAAAGTTTTTTTTTACTCCGTTTCTCCAGGAAAGGGCTGCTCGAAGAGAGTGAGACCATCGCCCTAGCCAAGAAGATTAATTCCCAGCTGAGTACCGTGCGACTGCGGCAGAAGATACAGGAATTCTCCATCGAGAGCGGCGAACGCACGGGGCGTATCGATCAGCATCAGTTCGTGCTACTCTTCAAGGATCTAGCGACGAGACCCGAAGTTTTTTTCTCATGGTGCGCTATTCTGGAAAGGACTACTTCGCTAGGGACGATCTACATTTCTTCCTCGAAGGAGAACAGGTGAAGCGTCTACTCAATTGATGGGGGCTCGCACTGGATCGATTTCGAGACCCGATGAATCGGAAATGGCCGCTTCCTGCTTCTGAGACACCGGAGCGGGAACACTGTGCCCTGACCTGATCACGTTGCCTCCACAGGAAATAGAAACTAATGAATCAGACGTAGCGAGGTTCATCGAGGAGTTCGAGCCTTCGGAGGAGGCTCGTAAGGACCAACAAATGTTACTGGATGGATTCACGTTATTTCTTCTGTCACACCATGCCTCGCTCATGCAGAAAAGTCGTGTAGTGCAAGACATGACTCAACCTCTGACGCAATATTACGTCTCAACCTCCCACAAAACGTAGGTGCTCGGATTTTGATCCTCGCAGCTCCAATACTCCCCACTTCCGCCGAGTGAGCTCCGCTAGTATTTATCGGAGCACGAACTCAGAAGACAGTTTCTCTCGCGCAGTTATCAACTGGAGAGCTTGGGCGACGTTATGTCCAGCGTCGAAGGCTACGTCCAAGCCCTGACGCAAGGATGTCGTTGCGTGGAGCTCGACCTCACTTTGACGGATGGAAACTTCTTTGTCGGGGAGACCCTGCCGCTCGAGGAAGTCTTGGACGCTCTGCGTGATTTCGCCTTCGCCGGTAAGGTCTCCGACTTCGGAGCGAGCCATATTGCGAGCCGAAAATTGTTCCGCTCTCGTTGGCTGAATTCATTGATTTTGATGAGGAGATCTCTAATGATCCTTGCTCCGGGCGTCTAGCGTCAAAATATCCGTTGATCGTGCACATAAAGTTCAGTCAGCTGTCCCACGAAGAGGCGTGTAGCCTTGCACAGCATTTGAAAAACTTGTTGGGAGAGTACCTCTACGTTCCGGCCACCGGTTCCCCGTTCTCGGTGAACGCTTCTCCAGAGAGTCTGACTCACAAAATTCTACTCTACGTGAGTTCCTCATTTCATGACATAATGACTCGCTCTAAACGAGAACTTGCCGAGTACTTCACCACGAGCCCTAGCCGCGGGGCTCAGCTTGGCGTCATTGTCTCCCTTCCCCAACGAATATGATTTTGTTTCATGTGCGCTCCCAGTTCACGTCCACGAGTGGCTGTTCGTCGTCGTCTTCGTCCTCTTCGTCGTCGAACAATAACAGCCGTAAGGAGAACAAAAACGATGAATGGGATTTCGCCTACTCGGCTTCTGACTTGGCTGAGTTAGCGGCTCTCAATCAGACCGTATTTGTCGACTGTGCCACGTCGCAAAGTCAACAGCACGAGAACGAAGTGTGCCTTTTAACTGAAGCCAATGCACTCAAATTGTGCCACACACAAGCCGACGACTTCGTACAACACTGCAAAAGGTTCGTCCCCCAGATTCCACAGTTTTCGAAGCCATCCGATGGCACAACAACGACTGTACCTCATATGATCCCGTATAGGGATGATGGAATTACTTTTGGATCGGGAATCGAGGAGGAGCGACTTCGGGGGGAAACGGTGAAATCAAGGGCACTCTGGAATGATTTAGAGAGCGAGATCTGGAGTATTCACTGACGAGGGCATATTGAAAACTCCAGGTTCCTCACACATGTTGAGCCTCGGCAACATCACGGGACGGAGGACATAAGCCAGCTCAATCCACTGGAGCTCTGGGCAGCGGGAGTTCAGCTCGGTGAGTACCGTCGTTTGAGAATAGTTCCTTCGGAAAGACTCTCTTTTCATGAATGCATCTTTTCGATGAGCTCAGTGCTCAAGTCGATTTTCTGATGGATGAGGAGGCTTCTGGATGTCGAACTCTCATGGATTCCACTTTAGTGAGCAAAGAAAATTTTCCCGATTTTTCCAATGTACAAACATCGATCAAAAACTTATCTACGCTCAGCCGAGGAATCTGCCGTAGAGCAGTAGACTTCCAACGGCGACCCCCGCTCCGATGAAAAGCATGAGAACGGAAAGACCAATCGCCGATCCGGCACCGTGTTTAACGACGCCCACGGTCGGCGGTACCGTGACGTAGAAGAAATTGCATGTCGGGCTGTCCGTCGGCTTCCCGCGACCGTCAACAGTGCGCAGTGTGCACAGTCCGGTATTGTCTGGTGCGGGGGAGCAGAAGTCGAACGAGAGACAGACCTGGAACGGGATAATTCAGTTTAGAAGATCCTTTAGCAAGAGTCTTCCTGAGTCCAGATCCCGAACCGGATGAATATTCTGCTCGGGGGATACTCACAGTGTCGACATCGGACCATTCGGAGCACATTTTCGCGCAGGTGGCTTGAGTTATATTGGAGAAGTTGGCCAATTCAGTTCGTTTCGCTCCAGTTCCTCTCTTCTTCGGCATGATTGTGTAATCGAAGAGGTACTTCTTCGAATAGTGGTCGCACATGATATTACTCGCCTTGGCAACGACTGTCCGGATGAACAGTTTATTAGTGACAAGAGAGCGACAAATATTAATCGTATCGATAGCTATAAATAATGAAGAACGATGATCGAGGGCGAGGTGCGTAGGGAATCGGGAATTCACTGCGTCTAGAAATCATGCTCACCGGAGGCATCTGCGATGTGGGTGTTCAAGAAGAAACAGTCACCGGTCGATTGGCAGAACTCGAAAGACTTACAATCCTCTCTTCCGATACACTTCTGGGCGCAGCTGTCGGCGTTAGTAGCTTTGGTTGGGGCTCCTGCCGGACCCGCGGTCAGCCCCGGAAATCTTTCGAATCGATCCGTGTACTTTCTTTGATAAGCGATGCATTCATTGTCCTCTTCGAGCCTTCCGGAAGGCACATCGTGATATTCTGAGATAATGCACTCCATGCTGTTCATGCAATAGCTGAAACTTTCGCAATTCTGACGATTTTTGCAAGCTATCGCGCAGACCTCTGGAAGCAGAAGAAGGCACTTTGGTGACATCCAGCGATTGCGGAGGAACAGAGGAAAATGTCCATCAGCTGTGGATTTGCTCGAGCCGGATGACGGCGATGCTTACCAAGGTCGAGAGATCCCAGAGAAGCAATCTCGTTGTGTTTGAATCTGCTCGAGGCCGCTGCTATCTTGAATGACGTCTCGACGACGGCCACCTTGTTCTCGTCGTAATGGAACGCACTGTCGTAGTTCTTCGTGTCATCCATTTCGAGTGCGGTGATCTCAACTTGTGATTTCTCGCTGGATCCATCCACTGCGTCGACCTGGAATTTCAGGCTCAGCTTCTCTCTCGTGTCTGTCGTGGTCACAGCCCTCTTCAGATCGAGCAAAATCCGAGAAGAGACCGGAATCTCGCGATCGAATGCTCTCTCATACAGTTCGCATGATCGCGAGTCTTTCACGTGCGCGCTGGCGGACGGGTTCCGCAGGTCGCTGATACTGCAGGTGGCGCCACAGTACGTGATCGCGGTGCATTCGTTCTCCCGCATTCCGAGGCAGGCGATCATGCAGGCGGGCTGGCTCATGACTCCTGTGAAGGAGACGCTTGGTTAACGGAGACGTTTCTACAGTTTCATTGAGCTTACCTTCGTCCGAGCCCGCTCACGGTGCGCTCAGATGGAACACTTACCGAGAACCCTTGAGGGAACACTGAAGTCTTTCATTAGGGGGCTGTTGAAAGCTTTGTACAGCATCGGTCTCTCGAGCAGAAGGGCGTTGACCACAACCGATTGGTCGACGAAGTCGACGTTCACTTGCGGGATCCGCATCGGATCGACACCGAAGTCCCGGTAGAGCTTCTCGGTGAACGCGTCTCGGATCTGGAAGGCGCTCTTCTCGATCTGAGCGAGATTCTGGAAGCTGCCGTCGTTGAACTTGATCTCGAGCCAACGAGATTCGCTCTTGTCCAGGAAGGCGGGACAGTCGTCGACTCGGAGCTTCTCGTTCAGCTGGGTGATCTCGTTGTCGTATTTGCTCAGGTAGATCGTGGCCGTGAAAACGTTTGCGTATGACGTGTTGAACGCATTGAGCTCAACCGCGACGATTTGCGATTTCACCGTCGTGGACATGTGGTACGTGGCAACGAGACTGTCCAGGTGGTAACCGTTGCCGGTGTAGAGATCGGAGAAGGTCACCTCGTAGACATCGGTTTTTGTGGAACCTATTCGGTTTTGTTCCAGATGGGTGACTGTGCTGCCGGATGCGTCGACGGGAGCTCTGAGGAATATCGGCTCGAGGTCGATGCTTCCGTAGGGTGGGATTTGCAGCTCCAAATGGAAGTCTTCACCGGATAGGATCTTGCAAGTCGTCTGCTGTAGGGCGACGTCGTCGGGGTCGTCTTTGGTGAAACGTTCGTAAACGACGTTGTGTCCGATGTCATGAATGACCTGGTATCGGTCGCTGGGAACGATGTCGATCCCGTTGGTGTCGATTCGGAAAGTCGACATGCTGAACGAATAGATTCCCGAGAGCTCTGAGTCGTCGGGCTTGCTGTCGGGCGCCGGAATCACCAGTCCGTTGAGCTGCGAAACGAGAGTGTAATCGCTCGAGTCGGTCTTTATCACGACTTCACCGACGAACGAGCGGCGACCGGTATCGAAAGGCATCTTAGGATGGGGACACTTCGAATTCATGCACGAGAGACCGGTGGGGATGAAAAGGTCTTGGCTTTTGTCGAAGACCCTGGTGCTCAGAATGTCGACTGTAACTCCTACCGCCATCCGCAAACGAAGGGGTCGACTCTTCGCCTGGCCGGAGCTCTGATAGTTCTTGTCGCTATACCAGTAGGTGATCTCACCGCCTTTGCAAACATTGTATTTTTCGCAAGGTATGAGTCGGTCAAAGTCTTCGCAGTTGTTGAAGCCTCCGACTTCTCCGTTGCCGTTGGCGAAAGCGTCGAAGAGTGATGCCGGTCCGAGGAATCCTGAATCCGGTACTTCGAATAGCCCGAGCGCTTTGAAGAGATAATTTCGCTTCAAGAAATCAGCGAGCGCCTTTTTCTCCAACTGATTGCATTTGTCATCGGTGTAGGTGTAGTACAAGTCGAGCTTACGATCGACGAGCACTTTCCAGAATTTCTTGTCATCGTAGAATTCCAGGAAGTACCTGTCCGATTCTTTGTCGAAAACTTCTCGGACGACGTATGTCTCCTTGACGGCTGGCACGGTAACTTCACTCCAAATAGCGATGGATTTCCCTAAATCCCCAAGGGAAAACGCAGGTGGTCTGGAGGTGATTTTTTTCGGACCTAATTCGCAGTCCCGAGTCTGGCCTTGGACGACCACCGCCGCCGGCACAGTCAGACAGAGCGCTGCCGTGAGAAACCACACCATGGTGATAGGTGAAGCACCAACCACTCAGTGAACGGGGTCCCGCTCGAATGAGACGACTCTCGATGGGGCACCGCCCCCTCGGAAGATAATATTCTCGAACGAAAAGGATTTGGCATCTAGACGGAATTAGCGTGGGCGTGTTGATCCGCGGCTTTGCGACGTGCCTCAAAAGGAACCAGTGCTATCTGCAAGAAATCGTCTGTACTTTCCAAGTCGTTACTCTTGCAATGACCAAGCCGAAGCGGAACTCCCGTCCCCGAAATTCCAGGCCCGACGATCCCGGGCTTCGCGGTTCAGGAAACATGCGACGGAGCGAGCGTCTTCGAACTCCGAGCAGGAGTGTCGAAGTGAGAAAGGCTTGGCCGGCCACAAAGGAGCACCGCGTCGGAGGAACCCGCGGGCCCCGTCTGAGCTATTTGTGTAGTATTTCCGTGTATTTATTTATTTTTTCTTCCGGAGGAATCGGGAAGTTCAACGAGCACAAACAGTTCATCGTCCCATCGAAGTCATTCACCGAGAAACCTCCGGAAGTATTCCACAACGCCTCCAACTATTCAAAGTCGATTGGAATTGTGAAGAGATATACAAATATGATCCCAAAGTATTACTTGGGATCGGACGCGGGCCAGCGGGCATTTCCCCGCGGGCTGCTCGAAACACTCAGCACATGTCTTTGACATCCGTGCTCGGAGTCTAAGATGAACTTCCGCATACCGTACAGAAGCTGGTCCTGTCACGATGTGGGTCATCCGATGGGTAGTGGCAATGCGAGACGATTCACCTTAATCCAACCGCCAGTCGCACGATCGCTTTAAACTGAACGGATTCTCCGCCAATGCTGACGATTCCGGGTAGGAGTACCTACCGTCGGCTTCGGACATGGGTAGCGTACGGGAAGGATTCCGCATCCTTATGGATGCCCGTGAGGCCCCCTCAATCCTTGACCGGCTTACTCCGAATGCAGCCGCGGCAAGTATGCGGGATCAAGTTTCAAAGCTCCCTCAGTTGATCCTTGGACTGCTTTAGGAGTCAAGAGGCGTGCTGGCTCTTTTCGAATCCTCCGCAAACGCCCCAGCCCCCGTCACGTTCGAGCGTTGAGCGAGTCATCCGTCAATTTCCACGTCGCATTTTTGTCGCAATAGACGCCTAATAATATTTCCCGGACCGAGTTGCTTCAACTCTGTGTGGAACGGAGCTCGATCGTCCCGAGCATCAAGCGAGCCGGGTCGAACCCGGATCCCGCGAATCCAGCCAGCAAAAAGATTTCGACTCCCTCCCTAACGGAATTCTCGGGATGGCCCGGCCGAGAACCCCTGGCGGATTTTCTGTCTTCGACGGCGTGGAGTCACGAAATGAAATCATTCTCAGACGCACCACCCGTCTCATGACGCCGGGCGACTCAAACTTACGCAGGAAGCAACGAGAGCATCGCGAACGATCATTCCTGAATCGAGACTCAATCATTTCGATTACTCCAAGCTCTAACGAATGCAATTTCGGAATTTACACGCGATCCGGAATGCCGTCACCGCAAAGACATCAGTCATCCGCGACGGGATAGCGTGCGTCTTTGTTTGCGGAGCCGAATCCGAGGAGCTGTTCGCGATGAATGCTTAGAAAATTCCATTTCTGATCCAACGCGACTAGACCACGAAATTCTGAATGCGCTCCTCATGAGGTCTAGCCGAAGCGTATGCCCAACTGAGCCTGACTTCGGTCAGTACTTCGAATAGGTTGTAGCGTAGTCCTGAGAATTTTTCGCTTCCTTTGCAGCATCAACGAATTTTCAGCAGTCTTCTGCACCGATGGATATTTACCGAGGCTGGTTCTCTCAAAACGGACGCTGCGGATATGTCCTGAAGCCGTCGTGTTTACGTCAACCCTGGACCGTTTTCAACGCTTTCAGAAAAGAAATCGTTACTGACACGGAACCTATGTACCTGAGGATAAAACTCATTTCGGGTAATCATTTGTAGCTTCACTATCGAGTACTGTTCCCCGATGCTGACTCGTGACCCGATGAATCCTAGGCTTCACGATTATCCTTCATTCCGGGATAGAGCATTGAGTCCCTGAGGTCGAGTGAGGGAGAGCCCGAGGAAGCCTAACACCTAGCTGTTCGAGCTTAAGATGTCTAATGCCGTTTCGGGAGTCGTTCGGCGCTTGGAAAGCTAGGGAGAAAGAACTGGCACGCGTCATCCCTAATCGTTAGATTCTCGCTTCATGGTGGGAAGGCATGTTGAATCCTGCCGCCGGGGATCCTCTGAACAGATAAGGAGCTCCATCGGCAACAATGGGAATCTAAGCACTTCTTCTCCCTCAAGGTCAACAACTACCTCTGCCTAGAGGAGCATCTGTAAAAGCAAGTTCGATTGATCCCTATGTGATGCTGCAAGTTTTCGGAATCCCGAATGATTGTGCCGAGGCGCGAACCAAAACCGTCTCAAACGAGGGCCAAAATCCCATTTTCGACGAAAGTTTCGAGTTCACCATTACGGCGCCGCAATTGGCGGTTCTCCGACTGACGGTGTTGGATGACGATTTCATCGGTAAGTCGGAGAGGACACTCGAATCCCGCGCAGGATGCTACGTTCCCTCACTATCTCGGATCAATACGCGGACGTGCTCGCTCGCCTCAACGACAGCACGATTTTCGCGATGGAAAATATTCCCAGATGAGAATTTCGCAGATTTCTCCGATGCTGCTCCAGCTGCTGCATCGCCCCTCACCTGTTAATGAAATTACAGGCGATGATTTTATCGGACAAAGGTCGCTACCGGTGAGCTGTCTCCGTCCAGGCTATCGGCATGTGACGCTCCTCGCCGATTCGGGACATCCCCTTCTGAACGCAACATTGTTTGTCCACGTGACGATTAGTAGCCGATCGTCGAACGATAAGAAATTAAGGCGCAAGAGATCGTGGCAAACCAAAATGGTATCTGCTGGAAGTGGTGTAGCTGATCTCCGTCCGACTGGATTGAAACCCGTTGACGAAACCTGCAAAAACGGGGCGACCCTCCTCAGCGAATGCGCTAAATTGAAAGCCGCGCTCGATAAGTAAGTACACACTACCTGTGTATCGCGAGAGGATCGCGCCATAGAAAACCGACCGTGAACCATCGAGGGACGGAGCAGCTTACGATACGAGAGTTTTTTGAAGCAGTTTGCCGAACGCGTGAGGAAGATCTTCAAAGCATTCTCATTACAGGGCGATGATCGAACTCTGTGAGGAGTGCGGCCTGTCCACGAGCTCGAACCTTGCTCAGTGCTTGAGAGTTCTCGTTCAACGTTTAGCAGGATGTCAAGATATCTCCGCCTTCAGTATTAATACGAACGGGGCTTTCCCTGAGGTGCAAATAAGTGGCGAACCGACCGGGCCGAAATCAGCGAAATGTCTCCTGTGTTTCGAGAGGGTATTACAAGAGTGCACGTACGTTGTGCAGAACGCGTCCCAGCTCAGTGAGGGTCTCAAAGACCTCTACAAGAATATCCAATTGCATGCTACAGAGCTACCTTCCTTATGTTCGAACCAAAAGAGTAAGAAAGCGGATAAAGCCACCGAGAACTTTATCTGGAACGCGTCCTACATCGAATCACGCATAGAGTCCATCAACTCGCTGACCAATGAGTGCCAAACATACCTCAAACAGGCAAGCATTCCTCAACATTCTCTCTCCATGGAGCTATGTGGAAATTGCTCCGAGAGGTTCGACATTTTGCAATTCGATTATCTAATCGACGATTGATCGATCGCTTACAGATCACTCGTCTAAGGAAAGCTGCCGAACGCATTTTCCTCCGAGAGAAAACCCTCCTGCTAAGCGCGAATCAGAGCCACGGAGCGCAGAGCAGCGGACCCCAACGCCATCGTGCTTCATCGTCCCTATCGATTACGCCGCCCGTGCAACAGTCGAGCGCGCCTTGCACACCTCCGCCCGTCTCACCGGGTCCGGATCCGAGCCGACCTCATAGCAAGAAAGGCATTTTGAAGAAGCCTTCGTCACCGATCCAAATTTCACAACAGGATCTTGCAACAAGTCTGTGACGACTGCTGTTTGTTATGACGGCGTTCTAATTAATTTCTCGGGAGTAGTATTGTATCTGTACCACGATCTATCATCATTATTGTCCCACGGTTTCTATAGGCGAATAGTTGTTCCTTTTCTCCTTATGTACGTGACGGAAACCCCTCTGAAGTGTGTGTTACTTGATTCCTAGTCTGGTATCCCGATGAAAACTTAGATGCATTCCAAACCACGTGTTCCAACCAATACGTACCTATTTGTTCCGATGCAGCTTAGTTACGTTTCGAATTTACACACCCGCTGAGCATCCCCGGATGCATAAATTTCTGTCGGCTCTGTAGGTCGTCTCTCTTGAGTGCTTTCCGGCTGTTCTCGGAGACGCTGCTAAGAGCGCGACAAGCAAGCGTGTTCCTGTGTTCCAAGAAATTCGGGCTTTTCCTCTCATGAAGGCGCGACGATTTGCCGTTCAGTTCCGAGCGCAGGTTTTGCGCACAACGGGCTCTTAATGGACTACCGTATCGTTACACTAGAATTGTTCCAGCTCTCATCGTAGCAGAAGAAAAATGTCCGTTCCTCCAATGGGGTCTGTGATTGTTTTTTGCGGGCAGTATCTCTCTATGATGTCTCATAATGGAAAGTATACAGTGATTATTAAGAAGAATAAAGACACTATGAGAAAACTGAGAGATCAGTTTTTCTATCCAGGCAGGAATATGGTGGGCTCCTTCGCGTTGAACCCCATCCGGTTGGACTTCGAGTCACAGTCGAAGCTGTCTGTGATGGGACCTTCGTTCTTGAACAGCAGGAGCCTATGACGGTCTCAAACCTCGAAATCAGCATCGAGTCCCCGATCTTCGTCCCTGGGCAAGACTCGGCTGGCTTTTCGAGTCGAAGAGTTTCGGAACGATAAGGGACCGTTCATCGGCGAGAGCCAGCGCATCGGAAGCAAAGGGAACCTATCCCGGAGCTTGGCGGCTCACTTGAGGAGATCAATGGTGGCGATGGGTTGACAGGCACTTTGTGCGGCGAAATCTTATATCGCGAGGAAATTCCCCCGCCACGGAACCGATGCTGTCGAGCCTGTTCGGGCCGAGCACCGCCGACAGCTCGGAAGGATGAATGACGGACAAGTGAACTTTCAGTGACTCGAATCACGCAAGACTGCTTCCTCTTCCTATATTTTCGAAGAATCCGATGAACTGGGTCTGTAACGGATCTGCGACTTGCTCGATTCAAGCGTCCTAATTTCTGATCGTGATTTTTCGGGGGCACACTCTTTCGGACGATTTCGTTGTCAATGTAACATCCATCTATGAGTGCAGATCGCGAGAGTCCCCCCAGGAGACGATGGGTTTCTCTCGACTTCCCATACACCTTCGCCTGGCATGACATTCCGATACACCGAGCCGGTCAAAAGTGATACAGAGGTTTGAGTTCTCGTAGCTCATCACTTCATCACATTTAGCTGCTCGAGCTGAGGGCACTGGAACGTTTACTGATAGTTTCTCTACATCTCTGGCTCGTGGAGTTCCATTAGGGTACAACAATTTATCCTCGTGTAGCCGGGCTTCCTCTCCACGACGCGTTGCCAGAGGCTGATGATATCCGTACGCAGGGATATATGCGAAAGGGACTCCGGTCGTAGCTCATGACAATGCTCCTCGAGACCGGCAGGGTGTTTCCATTGCTTCCTCCAGACTCTCCCTAGATTCCAGATGAAAGCAGAGATTTGAACGGCGATTCATCTCCGCGACTGAGTGGAGAAGTTTGATCAGGAACAGATGGAGCAATAGTCGATCGAGCTTCCGTCTCCCCGTATTGAGGCGTCGGACTACGAGGGACTCCCGATCCCAGGTCTTAAGGTGCATATCGTCGCCAGCCGCCGGGAAATTGACAGCTTGAAACGCACATCAGAAAGGCTGACAGCTCCTTTTGGAAGGGTGGCGGATGACGCTATGTCGACAGCTCCTCGGATAGCCTTTGCTGAGGGTTCTGGGACCCCTTGAGAGACCGCTGATGCCCAGCCGTTGGCATCCCGATTTTCTTGACACGGAACCTATTCCAAGACGGAGTCTGAGACGATGATCAAAGTTTATCGAAGCAGTACTTACTTAGGAGAGAAGAAAGATGCTTCATAGTGAAACGATGAGGCTCTCTACTTTCGGATTCGATTTTTTGCCTAGGGAATTGAATTTTTATCGTCCTCTTAAGGGAAGACCAATATCTTGCGTGACTCAATGATGATATCGCGCCGCGTGAGCACTCTGGCCACCGGCTTGTACGAAGTCGATTCCCCATCCTTAAATGAAAGTCAAAGAAACTCACGTTGGAGTTCTGCGAAGTCTCAATCGATTGTGAAAGTTCTCCAAAAAGACTATCGATCGTGGGGAAGGTCGAGCCGAGTTTGTGAGTCCTGCTCAGCGAGCCGGGAGGAGGGCTTGGGCTTTCTCCAGCCTTTTTTCCGGGCGGATGACAGCGATGAGAAGACTCACCGCTAGCCGGTAGCATTCTTCACAGACCCGTGATGTATTAACGCGGGATCGATTCTTAGCCTAGTCGTCGTAAGTCTCCACTCGAATTAAAGCCGTCAGGAGCTCGTCAAGAGCGTCGCTGCTAAGCGTTTTTTCTCCTAGTATTGCGTAAGTCCCCGACATCGCCATGATTGCGGTGTTCGGCTCCCAGAAGTTCGGTCTGGATTCAACTCGCAAAAGACACGAGTTCGCGTGACTCGGTTTGCATTGAGTGAGACTTTCTATGGATGGGGCTTTCTGGAGTCGGAAAACGCGAATTTTGATCATAACAAAATGCGCCGCTCGCTTTAGAAGGACGTTTGCTACAAGCGATAAACACGTATGGATGGCTTCTTCGCTTCGATGAGGACAGATCCAATCTCTACGGTATATTATTATTATTCCTACTGAGCTTTCGCTTCCTCTTGTTTCAGAATTACGTAAATCTCTGCCAGAAACTTCACAATCGAGAGATTTTGTTCGCTTAAATGAACGAACGTTTGAGGCAGCGAGCGAGAGACGTCTCGGGAAGAATTTCATACACCCTCGCGACTAACCGTGATTTTCCCTCCTCAGCCGCTCCCGACAGTGTATGGGTCCACATCGAGTATAAATTCTTCGCTTTACGTCTCCTCCGTCATCCGGACTTCATTTGATCGAGTCAGGTGAAAACGGCGAGCCTCAACATGACTGTGAGACTGCTGGTAAGAATCGAAGCTCTCAGACTTTCATCCCCTGTTTCAGCCCGATAGAAGAAGTCAACTCATGCGGAGTCTTTCCCTGGAGCTCCCCAAGTTGTATAATGTGGGTTCGAATTAATTTGTGCATACTCTCCCCTCCAGTTGGCGATTTCTTTGATCGTCGGTGTCTGTTATGCTCAGCAGTTGGCTGCCGGTCCCTCTGCAGCTGCTCCGTCAGCCGCCGCACCTGCCATGCTAACAGCTCCACCAGACAATACTCCTATCCGAAACTCTCGGATGAAACGTTCGTTCTACGGCGGATATGGGTATTATCCTTACGGAGGGTACCTCTGGGGTGGCTACGGCTATCCCTATTACGGCTACGGAGGTCTCTACGGCGGTTTTGGTTACGGCGGTCTGTATGGAGGCTACGGAGGTTGGGGCTATGGCTGGTGGTAGGAGGCGAATCACGCACCCCTTCGTAGTGACTTGAGAATAAAGGGTTCAGTCAGGCCTTGTCAATTACACAAACTTTCCTCACCAGCAACAACTGATGTACGAGCGAGTAGACGATGAGATAGGTAATCATGATCGCGAAAAGAAATCGAGATAATCACGGATCGGTGTCCCGGCGACACTCGGCAGGCGACTCGGGAAGGTGTTCATGACCAATGATCGATGAGGGATCAGCTGATAGAAACTAGAAGCTCATGATGGAAGAGAAGAGTTTTCTCGGGTTGAGAGAAGAGGGTCCCGCGAAATTATGGACTCTGCACCCGAGGACGTTTCCGATAAGTACAGGATACGCTGGGGGCTCGTGCGCCCGACGCGAAGGAGGGCTCCGAGACGAGAGACTCTGTCCTGTGTTCCAACGAGCTCCTAGAGCTGTGTAGAGGCTAACGTTGGATCGAAGGAACGACTTCCATCCGCTCACTTCTTCGGGATCAGGCTCAGATCCCTCGGACTAGTTGAGATCCACTAATAACTGATGCGAAACGGTACTGTGAGAATCCGTTGCACGACTGCCGTCTATCGTACGGGTTCTCGCCACAACTGTCTCGCCTCGTAAGACCACAAAATCAAAAAGCTTCCGGAGCCGTCGTATGTATCGACCCGATATCGCAGGAAAATCGCATGGGCTGATGAGCCTCGGATCGTGGCTCCGAGTCGGTGTGCGGAATGATTCGGTCGCAGGGTCGAAAAAGAGTCTGTGTATTCGCACGTTGTGCGTGATCACATCGGAATCGCTTGCACTCCATGTTCGACGCCGGGAGAGAGAGAGTGAATCTTGGGTAGCTCGTGCAGTGCGTGACGCATCCCATCTCTAAAAGGGAATCAGTAAGTGGGGAAATTGGGTTGGTGAAATCACCTCGGAATTCCACCGCTACGGCTCATTGGAGCTCCCCTGGAGAATCACAGGACCAGAGGACAGAGGAGTAGATTGTGACTTTCCGGGGAAGCTCATCTGGAAGCAACTGTGAATTCCCATTGTGATAACGCTCGATCATCGAATCTACGGAGCCCCGTCCAAGATGTCCACCGACAAAGATCCGAGAAAACGACTCTCGGAATCTACAGACGAAGGCTCTGACCAACATTATTCTGTGAGTCCATCCAAGAAAGGTAAAAGTTCAGAGAAGCCGAACGCTCCTGACACCTCATCCGGAACACGGCCGAGTGTACTGGTTCTCGCGCCCGGTCCTGCCAGCCAAAGTAGATCTCGAGCCGGGAGCATGGAGCTCCGTGCAACGGTCTGCGGAGTCGGGACAGAAAAGAGCGAGGCAGAGCGATCAGGCGAAGCAGTTGTGGAGGATTTGGGAGCGGTTGAGGAGGTCGGAGCGGTGGTCGAAGTCGGAGCGTTGGAAAGAGTCGGAGCGCTAGAAGGACTCGAAGTGGCTGGGGAGGCCAGAGCGTTGGGAGAGGTCTTAGCGACGAGTGGAGAGCAAACACAGGCGGGAAGCGTTCGAGAGGTTCAGAATTTGGAACGAATGTTGGCGATCGGACGAATCGTGGAAATGACAAGATTCATGGAAATGAGAGAACCGGCAGGAATGTTTGTAGGGTTCAGAGGAGCAGAGGAAGATCTCGGTTTACGATTTCTTGAGGACGATATCGAAGAAGTGTCCGATCTGAGCTCCCTCGCGCCAACGCGGGCGCTCGGCTCCTCGAGTACCTCCTCGAGCTTCAAATCGACTGACCCTGAAGAAATGGACGTCGAGCCGTCCCGACCGGCTCCCATTATCGACCCTCACGCAAAAGCAGCCCAGGACGTCATCATCCTACAGCATGAAGGAGTGGTTACTAGAGTCACTTTCCGCAGAAATTCGAGTTCGAGCTCGAGTTCGGGAGGCTCGAAGCGACGCCGCCCATCAGTTTCGAAACTCATCCCGCCTCCGTGTGAGCCCGGTCCGTCTTCGGAAGAGAAGAAAACTCCAGCCGCCGAGAAGGGGACATTCAGACTTGAATTCGGCGGATTTGCCCAAACGATTCCCATGAAGGATCCTCCCCCGGGTTCATTTTTCGACACGAGGCCTGTGCCTCACAAATTCCAAGATGAACTGGCTCCAAAGAACCCTTACCACTGGGGTAAGGTACTCTCGAATGCTTACAATCTGGGGCGGCACGAGGAGAAGAATCCAACGCCGGACGTGTGGATGGAGTCGGCTCGCAGCATCGAAGCTCGAGGCTTGCTGGAGGACGATGGGGCCACTCGAGCCCACCTATTTGTGGAGGCGGCGACACTTTTCCTCGCAGCAGGTAGGTTCTCGAATCGCGCCTTGACTATGGGAGACTATCTCTCCAACTTCCAATCATGACGACTCTGGAGAGAAGCATCCGCTCACCGATTCTTTCCGGTCCGATAGCCGATCATTACGAACGTGTCGGGGGAATCGAAGATCGAGTCATCGGGATCACTCAGCATGTTAAACGGCTGATGAACGATATGAGGTCGTTGCTGCGGCTGGATAAGTCGAACATCGGAGAGGCAAGGCTCGCTATCCTCTGTCGAAGAATCGAAGCGTGGACCGTTGGTCGCATTTATTTCTTGGAGAGCGCGTGCCTCCCGCAGGGAGAAACGTGAGGAAGTTCCCTCGATTATTTGAATAGCCACCCTTAGTCCTGGACATTGCTTCTGTTCTTGAACTAAGCCTGCCGGTCCTTCGCAGTGAAGCCGTGCGGGCAAGCGGTGAAAGGTTGAATACTATGGCGGCACCATATAAGGATAAAGACTTGGACCAGTGCCCTCCAACAATCATGGTCCCTGCCGAGATCATCAGAGACGTGAGTGTCCATTCAGTCATACAGCGTTCAAGATACGCGCGTGCGTCTCAGCTGCTCGTCATTCTACATGCTTGGGATCTATTCCAGTTGACTCCCGACATCCGTACTTTCGACACTCTCGACCTTGCGGGTCGCATATGGTCCGATGCGGGCTTGCACATCGGTCGCTTGCACGATGATGGTCAGTCAAACTCGATCACTTAGAATTTTCGGTCGGCACTTCGAAACCATTTCATGTATTCAATAATCAATAGGGGAACATATTCCCGAGGATAATGATGTGGGATTATCTTACAGCGTTTTACCAAGCCGTGACGAGCGCGATGGGCGGATGCACCAACTTGATGTCTCCGCCGAGGAAATTCATCCGATACATTAGAGAGTTCACTTGGCGTGTGAAAGAATTATCGGGGAAGCCCCCGAGCTCCCCCGTAGGCTCTCTCGATAGCGAAGATTGATTGAGCTCAAAAGTGTATTTGAGCTCAATGTATTTCACAAATGTTGTTTGTGAATTGTGAGTGCGAGACGGAGTTATGCTCCTGGGTAGCACTGGACACATACTCTTAGATAGCCCTGAGGATATTGAGTATTCGGAAAATGACTAAATCAATCATGTATCATAATTTAAGATATGATTGAGATTCCTCTCCAGCGAAGCACATGACGATATTTCTGATTGCCGATGCCAGATTTCGCACGATCATTCGTGTGCCATGTGAGCGGCTATTCCACGCTCCTTAACGCTGGAGCCGATTCTCACTCGAATAAATTATGTCATCTTTATGTACCGAACCTCAGTCGTCTATATGAGCATGGGGACAGAGCTCCTCCTCTCCGAACCATTAGAGGGTCGTATCTATCGGGTACAAAAATTCGAGAACATCAGGGCACGCGCAACTCCGGATCATCCGTGCTTTTCGTAGTCAGACAGCCTCTTCTCTCCCTGCCACAGGGAATATTCCTCCAAGATACGATGTTGAGCCGTCCTCTGGGCGAGATTGAAATTTTCGTCGGAATTGCTTCCCGTTCAGCACTTCGATTCCTGCCATAATAACCAATAATAGTCATTCCCCTGCCATCCAGAAATCAACCGATTGCTGCAGCGCCGCGTCACCAGGAGTCGCCTGCGGCGAGGATCACTTCATCATCCGCAGTAACAATAACAATCGGGAGGAGCTGCTGCTGCGAGAAGAGAGTGTGCACCACAGACCACCAGCGATACGGAGAACATCGTCCAGCATACGCGTACTACCCCTTCGATGGGACCTACTTCTGTTCTGAGAGCGGATGCGACATCTTACCTTTGTTCGTGACAATTCGCTTGGATGATCTCTCATGGACATGGAGAAGTCATTCGAAGAGGAGCCCGCAAAATGGCGCGCCAAACGAAAAGTGCCATTCAAACAAGTTTCATTCGGACTGAAACAGCTGATCGAGAACGGAATCGCACAGCACATGAAGCAACTAGACGATGCGTTACTCGAGTTACAGGTACTCACTCTCGGAATCAAGACCTGACAATCGGGAGAACTCGGAGATCAGTTTCGGGATGTTTTCGCGAGTCCTTGTCCTTACGTCCTCTTCTAATTTCCGATGGACATATATCTATCTCGTTCAGTTTGCCTTTCAAGCACTGCGCTGCCCAATACTCCCGAACTCCCGAGGGCCAGCGATGCTTATGCTCTCGATCTGTTCAGAAGCCCGGAGCCCCGTAGATGCGTATACAAGTAGAGCACGCCGCAATCAGCACTATCGTTCTTGCAGATGAGTCACGAACCGAAGTTCGCCTCAACGTACCGAGAGCGCGTTCGTCATGCCTTATCTCTGCTCACGCAGGATCTGCGGCAGATTGAAGAGATGAAATCGAGCGTGAAAGATGAGGATCTAAGCAGGTTTGACAAAGCTGCGGAGACGAGCCGTCGCGAAATCCACGAGGCTCTGAAGAGGGCGCGAATCGGTGAGGGTCCCAGAAAAGTTTCATCTCCATAGTAAATTCTCATCAGCATGCGGAATTTCCCGCGTACGACTCCTACTGCTAGGGCAAAGAGGTGCGACTTGATGCTAAGCCGTTCGACTAATCTGCAGTGATCGACTCTGACTTCGATCGGCTCCGTTCCCATCAATCGTCCGAAGTCTCACCGAAGCCCGACGGGGATCGTACAAATTCGAATTCTGCTTACTCCGACGACACTGCTGCCACTCAAGTGAGTTCCGAATGAAAGCAAAACGACTATCTCTGATGAAGGATGAGGTTGAGATAATTCCTTCCTGGAGAAAACTCGCTCCAACTTCTCTTGCAGAACTCGATGCAGGAATTATTACTGATAAACGAATGTGAGCGGCTTCGCGAGCAGGCTCAGGATCTTGAGTCCCTCACTCAAGACATGCAAGTCCTCAAAGAGATGATGGGCGATTTGAAAGACAGCGTGGTCGAGCAAGGAGAAGCTTTGGAGGCTATAGAGCATCATGTGGAAACGGCAGCCACCAACGTGACGCGCGGCGAGCTCCTCCTAGCGCAGGTACGCTCTCGATCCGCCTCTTAAGCTCGATATTTCCTCGGAGACGCACATAGAGCATGATTTGAAATCCTCTTTCTAGGCGAGGCATCTCAAGACCGCGGCTCTGCCTATCGTGGGTCTGACAGTGGGTTTCGCGGCTGGTGGTCCGATTGGTGCTATCGCGGGAGTTCGCATTGGTTTCGCAACTTCGATGATTGGAGGAGCGCTCGGGTATGCCGGTGGGAAGGTTCTGCATAAGTTCAATAATCTCAACCCACTCGGTCCACGTTTTCGGATGCCAGCTCTACGGACCTCGGAGAATCCAGAAGTTGATGGTAACCAGCAATGAATTGATCTCCGGAGCTGGTGACTTCCAGCTCGAAAACACTCGGATGGACTTCAAGGGTTAACGACCCGATACTGTGATCCTAATTCTTGACCGATGTCGTGTACATACACATACGTTGCCGTTCATAATACAGTGTTTTATCGCGCATCAGTGCCTATTTGTACAGGTTTGGAGTTTGCCGCGCGAGCTCCGGAACGGATATTCCGATAAAATTATTTCCGGTTGTTCCGGACCTTACATTGCGATGCCAATTTGGTGTTGATAATATTATTAATGCATGTAACACAATAGAATGAGACTCTCGGACTGGTCGTAAAGCGTTCCGAGATCCGTGAGCCGATGGAAGCCTGAAGACTCCCATCAGGGAGACCTAGAGGGCGTGTTTCTTCAGAGGTTGGGAGCGTGACGCGACGTGTGCACGGAAGGAAAAATAGCTCGCCTCGGTGGACCTACAAGGGGCCGAAGAGGCATCCGAGCCCCTGAGCGACAAGTCCGAAGAGGCGTGAAGTCTGTCGATCGCATTGAGGACAGGGAAAATTTTCGCGGAGAGGATCTCCATCGGAGAGGGGGGGCGATTCGCGATCGCGACCACAGAGCCAAACTGCTTCGGTGTGGGGCAGAATGCGGTCCGGCGAAATCCGAAAAGAACGGCGAATTGCGAACGTGCAATGCCATCCGGTGGAGACGCGTTTTCAGTGATAATAGGGGAGTTCGAGACTCGAATCAAGTGAGGTCGACGACCGCATCGTCAAGGGTCCGCAAGCCGGACGGGACTCATGAGACCGCCTGATGTTGTCGAAAGATTCCGAAGAATTGAGAAATATCTTCTTCGCTTTCATCGTTTAAGACTCTGATTCGGAGTTCTGATTGTCCGCCTGACACAAAGTCACTCGACCGAGCCTCCACGAGCTGCGGGAGTGATATGGAGCTAAGGGAGGGATGAGGCTCACTAAGTAGATCAAACTAGATGAGGTTCAGAACCCAAGCATCTAGCGATCGACACAAAGCTAAACTCATCGCCTAGCATCTCCATGTGGACTGTGCTCCGCCGAAGCTCTAAATACCCGTTGCTTCCGCCAAAACCTCGCAGCCAGGGTCCGACGGGACTCCGTGGTCTCTGTCGAGCGGAGGACGATTCCGACATAATCGAAGGAGATATAGAAAGTGAGTTTGAGGTGTCTGGGATTCTCCATAGAGCATGATTGGATCACCCGTGGCTAAGCCATCGAGAAATTTGAGATATCATTCGTTCTCGGGCCACAGCAAGGATGGGAGAGAGCATTCGCAGTTTGAATGCGTTCATCCTCTTCTGCCCACTCTCTCGTCATCAATCGCGTCCCGGGACTGTGCGCGGGACAGACTTCAGAGAGCCTTGATGCGGGTATCCTGCTCGACGGGTTTCGTTGGAAGGACTCGATCACAGAAATGGCATTCCAAAGAAAAATCTTGGAGACAACGATATGAAGACGTGTAATCGGTCCAAGGCGGGGAGAGGGCCGTACGGTGTTATTCATCTTCTCTCGATTGATTTATCCTAAGCGTTGTCCCACTCGCTCTCTATATGATCCCCTACTGCGATTCTCTATTTGCCCCGAGCGTTTAGGAACCTGGAGCGTGACCTGTTCTGGGATTTGACTGCAGAACAGTATCGACAATACATCAGTTTGCGGACTTGACGGGGTATCCAATACCTGAATTGTCGGGCGGGCGGCGCAATCGTTGCCCGCCGCGTTGTCGCTGACGATTGGCTGATGCTGGAAACAAGCTTTTGCTCCTTCGGAACCGTAACGGAGTCGGTGTGGTTCCATGGTGTAATGGTTAGCACTCTGGACTTTGAATCCAGCGATCCGAGTTCAAATCTCGGTGGAACCTTATTTTTTGCCATCTTACTTCCAATGTTGTGCGAGCGGTGCGGGATTCGGGCCTGTCCGGCTCATGATCCGAGGAACTCCCGCACTGACGCGGCGGCGGGAATGATACCACTTGACCCAAGAGCCGCTGAAAACCGGAACCCTTATGGAGGAAAACATCGCAGACCTTTCCCCGCCGTTTGTGAGATATGCTCGTGAACAGGCACATGTTCTGAGTCATCTGCCCTGGGGAGTTGTCTCGATGGACTCTAGACGCGCCACCGAAAAATGGAACGTGTGATGTGGGATCAAACCTAATCGAACCGCGAGGATCCGATTGATCCGACTCGTCGCCACCAATGGCTTCGGGAATGGGGGAAAAATCAGACGAACATCGAACGCACTTCCTGCGGGAATGATCCGGATGCAACTTTCCAGTTTCAGCGCTGCACTGTAGTGCTCCGGATGGTAGTTGTGAGTCTCCATGAGCCGCATCGTGGATGGCCTGAGAGTCGGGTCGAGCTCCAGGAACATAAACTAAATGCTTAGCCCATTCAAGATCGCGAAAAAATTCGATTCGAGACAAGCGGGAATCAATCCACGCTTCGGTTCCTTGCATCGATTTATCGGTCGATGATTACGTCACAGCGATAAGTATAGCAACAGCGCTCGGTGGCAACACGAGCGTCGCCGGGCAACTCCAATAGCAGCCGGCGGGCCGCACATAGTCGAAGTCCGTTGATCCCGGCATCAATGGCTACGGTTCCCCGCTTCCGAGCATCCAACTATCGCGCTCGCATCTGGGAGAGATCGGAATCGAGCCAGCAGAAGAAATGAACAAATTGGGACATATAACGCGAGCCGGTGGACGAGGCTCGCATGATCCTCGTTCAGATAGATGGACGAGTGACGCGAACCTAAAGTAGAACCGCCGTGTTCATGGAGCCTTCGGGGGATGATCGTCTAAGTCCGCAGAGACTTCCTGCCTGTGAAACGTCTAGGACCGTCCCTCCGCTTCTCCATGTACATCCACGACGTAAACTCCCGTCAGGTAGCCGCAAGACCGAAGAGTTTGATAAAATTGACGACAGACGCAACTCTCAGTCAGTACGAGCAAGGATTGAGGTACGGATACCATGATAATTGTTAGTATTGTTTCTATCGACCTGGGAAATAATCTCAATCGATTTCTGAAGTTCGCATTCCTCTACGACAGCGCCGGCGCGGCGTCTTTGCGCTCACCATAGAGAGTACTAGCTACTCCTGATGGCGTCATCAACGGATCCTCAAGGATGAATCCTTGAGAATACGGTACCCGAAATTAAGTGATCGATTCAGGCGTCAGGTCAATTCAGTCCTGTGTTTATCGTAATAGATTGCGTTATTTGAGTCGCACCACTGAACTCAAGTTCGGCTCTAACAAACTCGGAACTCCCAATCAAGGGGGTCCGAATGCCATATTCTTGGGCATTCTTATATACACGTTAAATTAATAATTCACTGTCTTCGAAAATCACGAATCACTCTGTGGTGAACGGTGGTCGATGTCACGAATGAGAGCCTCCGCAAGTTTCTGCGTGTTCAGGCGCTCCAAACCAAGAAAATCTGCAAAGAACGAGCTGGAATTAGGTCACGCTGCGCCGCGACGGCTGTGGATCGACTCGGCGGCGAGCGATCGGATGACGGCAGCGAGCCGAGGCCGGTGATAGAGGAAAAGAGCTGACTCGATCCAACTTGCCTCTGACAAGTTCCGCTGGGGGCAGGGAGCCCCCGTGAGCGAGAACTTTCTCCCGATAGCTCAGTCCGGCTTCCCTGCTTAAGGGATCAGCTTTGAAAGCTTTCTGCCAAAATGAGGCTGCCACCGCTCTCGACATCAGGTACGAGTAATACTTCGCTCCGTAGCCAACGAGATGACCGAACCGCAGTTGCCAAGCGGTATTCTCCACGAAAGGAACGCCGTAGTGTCTGCGTTCAATAAAGAAATCTTCATTCATATCGGGACTTGAGAAGTGTTAGGGACGAAATCTCGTTCCATCTTCGGATGGGTACTCACTCATTCTGAACCTCACGCAGAATCTCTGTCGTGCTCTTCTGTCGCGGATATTGTGAGTGGTACGCATGATCGACGAAGGCGTAGAAGACCTAATCGGAGAGGGAAACATCACCGCTCGTTTTCCATCGAGGCGCAAGGGACAAATACAAATTGGGAGAACGGCAGGTCATCTTCGATTCATCGTCCCTACCTGCAGCTGAGTCTCACTCGCTTGAAAGATTACCCTGGACGCTTCCAAGTTCGATGCCAAGATCGCGGGCATCGGTTCCCCGGTTTTATAGTGCCGCGCAAACCGTGTCACTACCCGAGGGTCGGACGCGAAATACTCCATCAGAATCGACGGAACCTGGAACAGCTGCGACTTGAAAGAAGCTCAAAAGTTCATTGATCGACGAGCGCTGCCCGAGCCTTGAAGGAAACCCCTTCGGATCGCAGTATCTCTCTTTTACCTCCGCCAAATCGGTCGCGCAGCGAGTCCCGGTTACGTGCTGATACTCGGTCCGAGCCAACATCGAGTGCATGGCGTGACCCATCTCGTGAAAGAGATTGTCCATCGACGCAGGGGTGAGAAGAGGAGGTGAAGCTGGATCAGGATATTATCTCGAAATCGGGGGAAGGTGATAATTCTTCAAAGGTCAGTGTCAACTCTAGCATCAGCGTCGTTGATGAATAACGACGTACTCACCGCGAGGCAGATTCAACATGAGCACAACCTTTGGAATCTGATAGGATCCGTCAGCTTTCCGCCGGCCGCCCTGAATTGTGAAATGGCAGTCCTGATGCGGTTTCTGCGCTCTCTCGAATAGATCGCAGTAGATGATCCCGATCGGGTCGTCGGATATCCTGGTGTCTTTCACAATCATTTTTATCACGCTAGGATGCCATAACTCTCCAGGCAGGGGATCGGCAACCTTCAAGTGAAAAAGGATCTCTCCATCATAAAGCCACCTCTCCAGTTCCGCGAAACTTGGCGAACATTTTCCCCGATCCCTCCAGGTCGAGATCAGATCTAATGGGAAATGTCACGGATACCCTATTGGTACCTCAATAAAGCTCGGTGGTGGCGGCCCGGTAAGCTTTCCCTCTTCCCTCGAATCTCCCTCGCCCTGTGGCAATCGACGAGGTCCGCTGGGAACATGAACATCAGTCTCACACAGTCTACCTACCGCGTCGCACGCGGTCCCGACCCGGTCGCCAATCCACCTCGAGCTCCACTCGAAGTCCGTCTCTTTACTTTGCTTCCGATCGTGAGATTCCGGAGAAAATCGTGAATAACATGAAACTCTCCCCTCTTCTCTGCTGACTCTCACCCGAATGGTCACGCCGTAGAGACTCTGGAAAATCATATCGAGGCCCTCCATGCAAGTCGACAAGCTCAGGTACGCCATGTATTCCTGCGGGCTGAGAACGAACTTGTTGAGTTTTGCCTGAAAAAGGAGCAATCGCTTCAGTCTGCTGCACAATACGTGTGCGGTATGCATCGGAAGGGAATGCGTAATGCCGTTTTAGTACCTGGGAGGAAAAGAAAGGTATGTCCCAAGCCTCGAGGCTCTTCACATGTCTTGAACAGGTCTTCTTCATTCGGAGCATCTCTTGGTAATCTTTCTCCGCTCTCGGCCGGAGCTCTTTCGAGAGATAGCTCAAGAACGAGTGAACGTTTTCCGGCGTGTCCGCTGCAATGAGACTGAATTTGGTCAAGGCAAGTTCTCTCCGCAGAAAAGGAGTGTTGACGCCAAGTTTTGTTTCAGCGGTCGAACCAACCAATCATGTCCGGACCGTTGGATTTATGCATGATCAGGAATTGAGCGTCTCGGATAGCTCACAAACGAACCTATACTTCCTTTCAGTACGCGGTGTGCGTGCGTTTTGAAGCCGCAAAGCTGCGCCAATTCTTGCCGTGATTCCAACAGGTTGTCGAGCAGACTCATTTGTTCGTCGTCAGGCAGCAGGAAGATTTTGTAGGTCGTTTCCCGGATGGCTTCTTGAGGAGAATCGGCATTGAGACCCGTTACGGCGAAGGTACTCGTTTCATTCGGGTTGAAGCTGGAAGCGACGCCTCAGTTATCGGGTATCGTCACGGAATGACTTCCAGCGGCCAAATTTCGCAATATGGCACGGAATCGAATCACACCCGTCAAACTCACAATGGCCTGAGGTTCTGTGGCAAAACCTTGTTCGAGACAACTCGCGGTTTCTGCGAATTTTGTAGAAAGTAGCTACCCGTATATAATATGTGATCGTTGAGTGCCACAACGTCCTTCCGGGTTCTCTCGTCGAGGTGGATTCCGCACTGCTCGAAATCGAACAAGAACAGTCGACCCACGTGTTTCTCTATCGCGTTCGTCGGAACTATATCCTCGCCCTCCACCACGGATCGCAGCGCTGAATACAGCGCTACGTTCGTATTCAACCTGCGTATGAGCAAAATCGTCCTCGGTCTCTGCATTTGAATCGTCAAGTCTTTTGAGGGAATGGCTCGGTCTGAACGGAACTCACTGCTCGACGAGGCTCGAGATGGCGACCGATGCCTCGCGCGCCGCACTGCTGAATCTTGCATCGGGGTGCCCAGTCCTGACAAACTCCGCCAGGTCCGCCACACGGCACAGACAGTCCGAGAGGTCGTCGAATATCTGCACCTGTAGGAAGTAGCGAAATCGCTTCAATCCCTTGCCGTGCGCCCTCAAAATTCTACATGGGGAACCCGATCGAGTATTTCCGCGACTATCATGGAGAGGCGGAAACCCTTCAACGAACCATTTTCCGTTTACGATCAGGAGAAACAGCCTCTGCTATGAGATTCTCGGCCTCCGTGATGGCCTTGTCCCTCAGAATGATGAATCCATGAGGGCTCGCGAGCTCCGGGAGTTCGAAGAGACCCTGCAGGAGAAAACGGCGGTCAATGAAAAATTGGCTCAATGCGATCTCAGCATCTCAGAGCGCGGAGGACTCATTGTCGCTGGGAGCTTCTCCCTCAGAATTCCGATCGGAGGTCGAATAGGGACCGCGCGGTGACAGGAGCAGATCACCTGCGCGATTCGATTACCGACCCGAATTTTTCGCAGACCTTACCGTTCGCTCTTTCAAGGAAAGCCTCCAATCCGGACTGTGTTCGACGCTGTTGAACTGCGCGAAATGGGAAGTATTCAATCTCCTAATGAAGTTTCTGACTTGACCACTTCGACTGAGTGTTCGAATTGCTCCGAACATGATGTTCGCCGCTCTGACTTCGAGACGAGAACTCTCCAGAGACGATTCCTGTTCGAAAGTCCAGGGTAATTACTCCCACGCGCTGACCCACTCTGGGCGGGAGTCTTCGGTCCTCTTGTGGAATCATGCACTTGAACTATATTTTTTTTCAATCATTTTCTCCCTTCCACAAGAGAGCTCCGCGCTAGATCACGCGTTGTTGCAGAGGGCACTCACTCTCATGTGTGTGCGCGAATGACAATATTATCCGTTCGAAGCAGACGAAACCCGCGCCTCCTGATTCTCCCCGAGCCCCATGATGGGAACATGCCATGACGTTGGAATGAGCCATCGGAGCTCGCTCCTGAAAACGGGCAAATTCACCCGGACTCGACGGATTGCTTGATGAGCTCTCTTTTATTGAACCAAAATTCATGAGTCCGTACACCAGGGACCTATTTCTCATTGTAAAACTCATTCGATCATTAATCTGAGTTGTCGAATCAGTGAGAGTTCTCTGAAGTATTCGTCTAGAAAATAGTCTAATAATGCTATCAATAGTGGATGGCTAGCTCTGTTTCATCTAAGTCTCAAATATTCATGTTGCAATCCGTTGCTGGCAATACGTATCGGTTCGCCTCTCGTGTATAAGTGCTGAGCTACGGCGAGACTAGGTTCACTAACACGGGTCCCGTCGATTTTTGAAAGTCAAGCGCTCACAACGTCGATCCTTACGAAAGATAGCTCTGACTGAGTTTCGTCGAATAATAGTAATTGTTGGTCACTTTTCATCGGAAGGACAATTGGCTGAAACTTTGCTCGAACGCCTCGTCACAATCGTGATCGGTGTCTAACGGTGAAAAACGCTTATCAAACGGCACCCGAGTCTCATACCTCCATCCTCGAAGTCGGGAGCATCGGAGACATTCTTGTTCTAATGCTATACTTTTGTATAGTCGGCTCATTGCATCCGAGTGAAACTCCCGAATTTGATCGCTAGCTACGATTTTCCGCGTAAATCTTTGATAACATTGTTGCTCATCGCACCAGAGTGAACAAATAACATCAAACGCACTCTTCATATCTGCCACCGACTCCACGCAAACGTATATTGGGATGTTTGCGAGCAATCTGCCGCGACTCTGACGTTTGGAAGGGATTCTGTGCCGAGGTCCACTCAGATAGAGAGTGAGAAAAAAAGAATTCCAGTCTTCGCCCCAATGCTGTAAGAGCAGGTTCCTGCTTGAGTTTCCTGGAGAGACGCTCGCTATATTTGATTGGAGTTTTCTCGTTTGGAAGATTTCTCTCTCCCAATTCAAATCCGCGAAATCGCAGAACATCGTGCACCTCGGTTGGAAGTCGCGCTCCGGTCCAATCCTCGAGGATAAGCTCCAAAACGATGAGCTTTCCCCCGACTTCCATCCGTAGTCGTCGCTTCTTCGATCCGACTGCTGCGGTAAATGCGAGGTTCCCTATAGATTCTGAGCAGCCAGGACCTAAATGAGCTGGGATCAAACTGGGATCATCCGTAGGGAGTATAGGGCTCTCTATACTGATTGATATGTCGGCTGGTTTGATCGTCTCAATTATGAGGGCTGCTCACGGCTGCTGTGATCCACTTCCGGCAACCCTGGTGCCCATCCCATGAACCAGATCGAGGAGGATATCTAGAAAATTTCCGGAGCAGCGGAGAATTCCCTCTTCCAGTACTGTCCAGTGAAAGCCCAAGAACCCTCTGGCGTCTCCTTGAACCAGAGGGGTTCCCATTGTTTGCCCTCCTTCTTCAGAGCCTTTCGGCGCTCACGCTGCTGCTCTTCGAGCCGAGATTTCTCCAGCGCAGCTCCATCTTGAAAGAAACGGGAGAGTTGGAAGATGCTCGGGAATTCAGACTGCTCCTCGATTCTTGCGATAGATCGGGGAGACAGACAATGTGCAGGAAAAGAGGGGACTCACCTAGGTCGCCCTCTTCCAGCTTACGGATGTCTGGTCGGAATCGACAGTCCGTTCTCGGTAAGCGTTGCAATTCGTCCCCCTCGGGAAGCTCGTTGAGCGCGACCGCGAACATGGTGAAATTATAGTGGTCCTTGGAATGCTCTGGACGCTTGTTTGCCTCCCACAGGAGCCGCCAGTCGGGATGAACGAGATTGTCGTCTTCAGCAGATGAGCTCTGGAAAAAATGGGATGTTGTTCCTCACCTCCACACTGCCTCTCGCGGGGAGCAGGTGCAGGATCCTGTGTCTCGTGAAGCGTTGGGAATGAATCGAATTCTGATGAAAATACCTTCCCGGCTGGTGAGCTCCCGACCGTAAGCGACTGCGTGAGCCTGTTCAACTTGGCGTACATTTTCCGCGGACCTTCGGAGGTGCGTCGAGGGCTGTGGTCCAGATCGTGATATGGGGCGACCTTCAAGTACTCTGTCCATTTTCCGAATACGCACCGTATTTTGCGCTCATCACTGAAATTAGGAATACGTTTCCCGCGTCACAAGGGACTCAAAACGGATCACCGAACTCGGAGATCTGCATCCCTCGGATCGTTCGCCATAAATTCTCCCAGCCGTCGATCAGCTCGAACTAGAATTGATGGATGGCCTTCACGCACCCGTCGATGATGTGTCCTTCGAAGCGATGCAGGTCCCTCTGGTCGGAGCCCGCCGGCTTGAATTTGATCGAAGCTTGCAGGCTGCTCTGCTTGCAACTTATGTGCATCTGTCCGTTCTGCTCGAACCAGAGTTTCCCGACCAGAATATTGTGGACGACGCAGTTCACGTGACTCCAGGAATAAGTTTCCTGGAGCCTTTTTAGCGTCAGACTCATTCGCCCTGAAATTCCGCAACGTGTGCGTTATGAGAATAATTCGGAACGTTGCAAAACGCCGAGCTTGGCCGAGCAGGCTCGGTTTCCTGAACGTAGCTGTCGGCGGGCAGGTAGGCGTATGGGCGATGAGCACACGTTTCACCCACGGTGGGAAAGCTTCCGATTTGAATGCAACGAAGCAGAATGGAATAAGCTGATCCCCTGGGGGTTTTCCAATGCCGTAGGATATCTAGCCGCGCCCCGCTTCCGCGGGAACAGGTGGCCGATCCGCCGGTCGGATTCACTCGGCTCGTTCTTCATCATCGATAGCTCGAAATAACCACTCATAGCTTGGCTCATCATTATCAGCAGTGCTCTCCGTAAGATCCCATGTCGAACAAATGGACCAACTGGGGCGGGGCTCGTGAACGGGCGGAATCACGAAGAAAGCTCGGCCGTTCAGCCGAGGATCTCCCCAGCGGCATATACACGGGGGAAGAGTAAGGCGTCTCGCCTCTTCCCCCACCGACGCGGGTCTCGAATCCCTAACCTCTCCACGCTGACGACGGACTCAGGCATCAATCCGCCCCGCCCTCCTTCGTGCGCGAAACATCGGCCCCCACCCTTCTCCGTCGAAAATTTCGCAAACTTAACCCGGGCCTCCTCATCATCAGAGGAACTCCGTGTGAGGCAACAGCCCCGGACCGGTCTTCGTTTTTATTGCCTCCGGAAGTCTAGGAGCTCACCTTCGGGCTTTATGATGATCTGAGTTCCCGAAAAACGCAATTTCGGGCATAAGTTCGCTTCGAAAATCACACTTGGAGACTCCATGTGTAAAGCTGATATGGGCGGATGATGGCTGACCTGAGGTTCAGAGAAATCAGACTCTCTGAGTGAGTTAGGGGCCGTCTACTCGGTCGTGTGCGAGGAATGGGAAGTGGAGAGCCGGGCTCACCTGTTCGCAGACAATCTTATAGTCTTCCCGTTGGAGCTCGTAAGTTTCTCCCAGTAGAGGGTTGAATGGCTTGTTCAAGCGATCCAGGTTGGACGAAAGGGTAGACACAATGAAAGCGGTCACCAGCTGGATACATGAAAGTCAGATTTTCAGGAGTGCTGTGAAGCTTTGGTCGGAGTCGAGTCCCAGTCGCGGAAGGAACTCACCTCCATTCGATTGACAGGATCGTCGCTGTTGTTCGCTTGAACCAGCAGCGGATAGTACTCTGCATTCTCAGTCATCCGTTGCAAGAAGCTCAGCGGCTCGTTGAACACCACCGGCATCGTGATGCGGGTGAGCTCCTTGCCCATGGACTGCTTCAGTACCGACCAGGGACTGAGGTCATGGCGTTGACCAGCTGGCGCCGGGAGACGATCGCGGAACGACTTCATCATCGTGAGAATTTCAAGCACACGACCTGCAAAAGTCGAAAGCCATCAAGTGAGATCGAGGCACCGCTCCCTGGCCTCACACCACCGATTGCCCGACGGCGGTCCCGGGAGGTCTAATCCCTCATCCGCCGCGAACCTCGACAAGTGAGCCGCAAATGACCGAACCACCGATAGCGTCGGCTACGTGTCCGGCAACAAATCCTCTCTTCACCTGAGGATTCCACACACACTCTTTCGTGGCTGGAGGCGAAGCTTCTCAGTGTTCGAACTCCGGATTAGGAGCTCGGAGCCAGTGCAGAGAGATCCTTGTCAACAGCTGGGCCAGCTGACTGCTAGGAGATCCTCCGATGAGGGTGTGGGCTGCGGTGGCCCTTTCCCACGGAACTTGGCCGCGACAAACCCTGTTCCTCCGCAGAGAACTAAGCAGCGTCGCAGCCTCGCAGCATTCGGAACGCAAGACTAATCCCCGATAAATGAGATCTAGTTATCAGCTCGAGGCGACACGGAGTTTGTCTTCGGAACGAGGGAATTATCGTGTAGGCAGAAATCCGTCGAGAGCTCGCACGCCGAAGGATCTCTCGCTCCCGACCGGGCTGCACAGAGAGCTCCCTTCGGAGAGGAGAGGGATTCCTGGAAGACCTGAAAGCTCCGCTCAATTCCCGTCAGAGCCCAATGACGGACAATCTGATGTGATGGAGGAGTCACATCATTTGCTTGAGTTTGGTCCCCAAACACGGCTTCCGGGTTTTCAGGAGCTGCTCTGCAGACGCTTTGCAACTTACGGAGATCGCTAAGGAATTTTTCGCGGGCTCCGGGGAAAAGTGTGAAAAAGACCACTTCTGAGTGCCCCGCCCGCGGGGCTCGCCATCAACGCAGACTCCGGTTGTGGCACGCTCGCGAAGATCGCGGAAATATCTCGCATCGGAAAGCGTTCATAGTGAGAATCACGTAGCCTTTCTCGCTTGGAGCGAGGCTCGTCTTGCAGGACGGAATGACTCGTTCGTACCTCCGTCCGGAGAGTCTTCAAGTCGAGATATAGTTCTAGAGCAGCAGGAAGCGTCTCATGGGGGAGACGCGGGAGAAATCTAGGGGAGACGCTCAGGGTTCCGAGTATTCCCGACCGACCTGATTTCAAGTTTCAGAAAGCTTACCAAGCTCATTGCTACTGTACTCCAAGCTTATAATCATTGTACAATTAAAAGATGGAGCCGTGTGTACGGATAAAACGGCACTGTGTCTCGGTCGAAACTCTATATTCTCAAATATCCGATGACCCCCGAGGGAGACGCGTGCGCTCCCCATGAGGTAGAAGGGAGACGTGGGAGAGAAAACTTCGAGAATCGCTGTTCTAGAGTTTTCGTCTCTTCCGCGGTTGGTGATCGGTGGCCTGATTCTTCCGTCCTGATCGCCTAGATAACACAGACGATCCTTCCCTCTGGAACCGTCAACATGGGAAGGGCTGTCGAGCTTCTCCTGATCTCATATCAGCTTCTCAGATCTCCGATACTCAAATTCCGGAACCTCACAGGCGCTTCTCGCCTCCTGGAAAAAATCACGGAATTTTTTGAGGAACCTCTAGACTGGTCAAACGACGAGAGACCCTGAAGCGCGAATCACTCTATTCAGGGGGGGGAGGCCTATAAAAAATGAATATATTACCCAACCTGTAAAGCATGCTGTCAGTCGCTTTCTCCAGCGATCTTCTCCAAAAACCCCACCGAAATATCCGTCGTATTCGAAACTCACGCTCCGGATATTGCTGCCTCTAACAAAGTCCCTCTCGGGGGAGGGGACCCTCGGGCTGCCCGAAACATATCGTCATTTCTCTCAGAATCAATGCGCCGACCTATGAGATGCAGTAATCCTCATTTTGTAATTCGGCTCAAAGTACTTTTATTATCATCTCCCTCGGGAATTGAGGCGGAGCCCACTTCTGAAAGCTCCCGGCTTCGAATTTCACGATCGGGCTCCAAGTTAATGCGGATATTAGCCTCGCCTGGTCATTGAGCTAGGGTGAGATATCAAAGTTCCCCATTTCCGACGAGTTCGCGACCAGGACTCGGAGTCCGGCTACGTTGATGTAGCACTCGACTCGAGCAATCCGGGAACCTCTCCCTCCGTAGCCAGGGCTGTGTTCTGCAGTCTTGCTTCAAGGTATGAAAGGTAGACGGCGAATGTGGCAGAGTAGCCCGTCCGGTTGCTCACTTGTGTCCCAAGCCGTGCCGGATGGTGTGACCCGTGAAGCCGTGTCTCGAGCTTTCCATTATAGCTCTTTACATGCCCAGTTCCGGGCAGCCGAGCGGTATATACAAGGGAACGCCAGATACTCGCTGTCGTCAACAGCGCTCAAGGGGACCGATGATGCCTGGCCGTCTATTCTGTATTCCTACGAATCGGCATTCTCTCCGGTTCCTCCCCGCTCTTCGATCAAATCTTTGTTAGCGATCAATCTCTGCCCGGCGAGGTCCCTTCGAGTCCGCAACTCGTCACTTCGCCTGTACTGTGGGGCGCTTTCTCAGGCCTGAATCCAGATACGATCCGCTCGTGATGCTTCCATTCGGTGAAATCGTCTGGATCCCCAGCTTCCTCCTCCCTGGAATATACACCGAGTGAGATATCGTACATTGGCTCTACGAGTGGGTCCTCCAATATTGGGATTGTCGGACAGTATAGTCGAAATCTCTCCAAGTCGGGAGCTACGGATCACATTGCTCATCGCAATGACCGGGTGCACGCGGACGACCCGTCCGCTCCGAACTGTCTCGGCATCGAGTTGTCGGGGTCGGCTCTGAGTTAAGGTTTTTGCCGCCGAGCGAGCCCGACGACAGAACCTAAGCCGCTGAGTTAAAGTCGTCGATGTATCTCTCAGAGCCAGTTCTATAAATTTTGAGAACGCGCGGGACACTGGCTCGAAGATAAGGATGAGGCTGGGAAGATGGTCGATTTCGTCCGCCTAGAGGGATCTTGCGATATCGCCTCCATTATTTTCCGGCTGCTCTGCGCCTTTCGTGACGGATTCTTTGATATGATCAACACGAGACAAGCGACAAAAAAAAAGATGCTAAGGACTCCGAAGGGTCCCCAGTGGGAAGCAACGATTTCTCACTTCCGGTTTCATCGAGACTTGGGCTCTTCGGCCGCAGAGGCGCGCACAGGATTTTTTCTGGGGGGCCAACTCGAGTTTTGGAGGGGGCCAGACGACTGGAATTATGTTTTATGACGCACCGTCTCGGGGTCCATACTCTAGCATTACGACCGAAGGATTCGGGGGGAGCCATGCCCCCCCCCTTCCTCTGTGCGCACCGCTGCCGGCCGGACATCGCCTTCACGATGTGTGCGCGATGGCAGGACTCAATGACGCCACCCTATGAACAGCAGCGTAATATTACCGAGCCCACGGAGACCACAATCACTCGATAGCCTCTGATTGTGGACGAGCAAAGACACAGGAAAGTTGTTCTCCGCGGAAATAACTCGAATCGCTCGCCGGGCTGCTCCGAGATCGCCACTGGCAGGTAGCAATGCAAAAACACTGGGAGTCGTACTCCGGATTAAATCCTCCTTTCATCGTGTTGAATCTCCGAGGAGTCCACTAGCTCGGTCCTGGAACTAGAAAAGCCGAAAGCATTGTGAAGGTTGAAGGTTCATCGGTGCGGCGGGAGCCAGCAACCTAGGATTGACAAGCTCTGATGGTAGTCGGAGGAATAGATCGGCTCTGACGGCCTCGGCTCATCTCTGGCGCGGCGTTGGAAGACTCTCTCGCGAATGGGGGTAGGTGTTCCTCTTACCTCAGAGGAGGATTTCTCCTCCCTCGGACTTGATCGGAGCATTCGAGTTTGGAGGTCGAAATCTCCCGTTCTAACTGAAGAACGTCGGTGTCTCGCGCACAGCTCCCGCTTCTCTGCAAGCCGGGAAAAGACAAATCTCGCAGACGACGAGCTGCAGCAGGAGCGGGTAGCGATGATGATGCTGATCTCTGCTTGGTCGATTCGGAGAGGTAGGGATGGCCGTCATCTTTCTGCATGTCGCGAGAGGAGGCGAATTGCGATTAGCCTTATACGCCCGCCTACCTTTGCCCCTGTCCGCTCATTGTTGTCGGTTGCAGTTTTCTCCTCAAGTCCGGAAGTTAAAATTATAGTGTTGGCAGTTTTTGTCCTCTTTGGTTAGTGTTCACCCAACCTAACCTCTCACTAGAAAGGCGACCGACAATCGAGCATTCGAGAACCGGGCGATCGGGAAGACTCCGTTTGATCGGCCAGATCTTTGGAAATCTCCTCGAAAAGCGACCGCATCAATCATCGAAAAACTGCCGGTTTCAATTACTGCCAATTTGTAAAATCAGACTGCCCAACGGGAAAACCGCCAATTCAATAGACTAAACTGCCAGCTCGATAATTGAAACTGCTCAGAATAATACTCCCCATTTCAGTATTCATCCTCAGCCGAGCTGGCTCCGATGAGAGTCTACGGGAGACGGAGATTCCTTGAAAGTTGTCCGACGTGGCCGTGATAGGAAATCGGGGTAGGTTCTTGCTCGTTCCTGCTACTGAAATTCAAGCTTCACAAAGCCGATCGCACGCAGGGCTACTGCTCTCTCTTTTGATTTTTTCCGATCCGACGTCGCTCACGCTTTGGGAAATGTCCCAAACATCAGACGTATTGCCCTGACAATTGGGGCCGAGCATTCGACTCTTTCAGCACGGCTGGTTCAGGTTCGAAATCGTCAGAGATGTAGGATGATATTACGCTATCTCGGGTTGTGAGGTTTGGAGTCGTCGAATGGAGAAAGCGAATCCGACGACCGAATCGGGATTTGTCGAGCGGTCTGAACGAAGCTGTGCCCGAGAGACGTTGTCCACTGAAGCAATTCTATGAGAGGACAATATGACGAAATTCACCGAGATCGAAAAGTTCCGTCTGTTGGATGAGTCCTGTAGGATCGGAAAGGGTGACAGTTTGAATATGGGCTGTTTGAATCCACAATACCTAGCGCCACATCCAGGCCTCGGATAGGCACCGCAAACACCAGACCTTACTCTTGCGATGCCCGGGAGCCCTCCGCTGATCCACGGAGGTCCGGGATTCCATCCTCGGAGGCACGAGATTTACAGTCTGCCTCGGTGGGGAGAACAGTATCTGGGTGGGAGAAGGAAGAGCCCGGAAAAGCAAGTGATAATCACCCGATCGAGAAGTATATCCAAATACAGTCACCTATCGACCTCGGGGCTGTATGGGGATCTAGACCGCCGCCCCTTCCAAACGATGTCCTTGGGGAGAATGACTATGGTGAAGTATACGAGCGGGTCACCATTTTTGTAGTTAGTCACAAGATGCACGGAGAGACGACACAGTCGGAACTATTAGATCTGCGTGAAAGAACGACTTCCAGGGAATCAGCGCAGAGAGAAATCTAGCCATCGTTTAATTTGCATGAGACGGTCGTGCGAGCTCATTCGTTCGAATTGCGTTCGAGACGAAGAGAAACTACACTCGAAAATCGGGGAACGCGGATACACACTGAGCGGGCTTGAGAACTATTTCGCCAGAAAGAATTAAGTTTCACTATGTGAACGCACATGTGCCCTTCTCCAGCATCCACGACATCATCCGCTACGCCATCCCTCGCGAGGGCCGATCGAGAACTCCACGCCATGGTGCTGGAGAAGGTTCGACATTCCCTTTTTTCATCAGACTCTTCGCATCTCAGAGCCCGAGAGTCAATATC